AGAGACACCTCAGTGGTAAAAGGTACAGAAGCAAATACAATTTTGCACAATCAAGTAAAAAGTAAGAGACCACTGACCTGGGAATTCTGAACAAGAACATCGATTGCAGCAAGATAAGGAGCTACTGTCAGAGTTTTGTTTACGAAATGAACACGATTTTGAATATTCTTTGTTGCTGTGAAGTTCCGAAGTTCCGACTCAAACTTGGTCTGAGCAGTCATGTCGCTTCCCACAATTACTGCATGAATTGATGGCACCTGTAACTTGTGTGCTTGGATCAGTTGCAAGCTCTCATAAAAGGAACGTAGAAATAAATCCTGGCCTTTTCCACGAGAAACACCTGTAATACCATTGTTATGCAGCAATCAAAGAAATACGAATGCACAAAAGAAAACCAGAAGCATATCTACATATGGGAGTGCTAAAAGCAAGACTACATCTCCCAAAATTTCTACTTGAGTGGATAGAATGGCAATCAAATGGGTAAGGTACATCATCATAACCACATAAGATACAATAGTATCGTACCAGAAAATTCACTTTAATCGCTTAAAGTAAGTTTCTTGACCTCCTCAGTTACTAGGTACAATATCCATAGTTTCCAAACTACAGGAGAGTGGAGAATAACAAAAACATGATGTCATTGATAGTAGAAGCCATACTATTTATTAGAGCAAAGAGTATATCTTCATTTCGCACACCAAGAAACTCTCGCACATGCTCCCGCAAAATCCTTTTTGCCACACCATCTTCAGCAACTTCCATTAGTTCCTTGCTATTGCCGAGGTGAACAACATAGGTTTTGGGCATTTTAATCCTACAAATGTTTAAGAAGTAATTTGAAAAAAATTAAAACATTGCCAATAAAACAAGTATGCCAATAAACAACAATGTACACAAAACTACATGTAGGTATATGAAANGAAGTAATTTGAAAAAAATTAAAACACTGCCAATAAAACAAGTATGCCAATAAACAACAATGTACACAAAACTACATGTAGGTATATGAACTCTGAAGTTCCTCTTATTTAGCGGCAATTTATGACCCACCATCATTAAAATACGCCTCGTATGCATTGTGTTTCGAGACAGATCCATAGCCATAGGGCATGGACTAATATTGGCTGGGTAGCATTACACGGTGTGCCCATGCTGGCCTTTTAATAATACATAGTCTGGACTAGGAAGCATAAGTGCCATTTACAAAAACCAAGAAATTGTAAAATAATTATTTAGGAATGGTTTTAGAAGAATAATACAATGACAAAGGATTTAGGAACACTTATGGAAGAATTATTTAGAAAAACAATGAAGAAAAAAGGAAGATAAGACATACAAAAAGGATGAAAACCACTAGACCATCCAAAAGTGCCAGTTCATATATCATGCAGATTATAATGAATTATGTTGCAGACCAATTTCACTTCAATGCCAAACATAGATGCATCAATTATGGTACCACTATATACAGTCAACAGCTGTTAATGAATTGGACAGGCCTCAGGCAGTGCTATCATTCATGCACCACAAACAAAATCTATTTTGACAAGTTTCTGTGTTAACAGGAGTTCACAGAACCATGATCTAGAAGTATCACCTTAAGCGCTCATGTGTCCTGTTATTCCAGTATTCTGCTGTTACATGTGAATCAATCATAGCGCCAGCAACAAAGGGAAGGTGCTTGACATACTCCATATTGAAGTAATGACCTCGCATTTCGTGTATCCACCACAAAATCTTGGGGAGAACTCGAGGAACATTTTCTTTGAGAACAGCATCCAGCCACTTGCCAGAAACAGCAGTATTCAAAACAATCAAGTCAGCTTTTAGAGCTGTATCCACAGCTTCTTGACCCTTTGCAGAAAAGACCTAACAATACATGAACAGCCATAACCATAAGATGGGTGAATAAATTGCACAGCACGAGCACTTCAATCTCAAAAGAAAGCAAGTTGATCCATCATAAGCAGCACAACAAAGCCCAACAGTTTGAAGCATGCGTAGAACATATAACTACCACCATTTGCAGATGCAGAAACTCACAAAACAAAAGACTGCTTTAGGATTATGAGCATTTTAAAAATACTTATATTTGAAAGCCAATACTCACATCCTTACACTTCTGATCCCAAGCTTTCAAAATTGGACCAAGCAAGGGCCTCGATTACAAATTATATGCAGACACGAAAAACGCAACTACACCATGACACAAACACATCCCCATAAATTGATATATTGGCAAATCCTCACAGCATATCATCTCCTATGATAGCATAAGCTAGTAGACAAAATAGCTACTGCACCCATCCCAAATGGGTGCATTGCCAAATGTACCCTTCTTTGTGATAAAAAAATCCACTAAATGTATAACGTGTATGCAATCCAAGAATACAAGTGAAATATAAAAGTGCCTCATAAACAAAACACCCCTTGAAAGAGTCGAAAGACTATAATCTTTTCTTGATACCCATAGGAACAATAAACTAGGCATAAAATGCTTAAGCCTATGCACCAAAGCTCCAGCAATCAAAAGCTCCAAGTTTGTGCTCCTTCCACAAATACTTCCAAACGTGTTCATCTTCCATAGTTGATTGTAAAAATAAATACAAATAAGGATGAGGTGTGAAATTTATAGACTTCATTTTCTACAATTTAGTACAATAGTTTAAGTTCTCTCAAAAAAATCAGAACACTGCTGTGAAAAAATACTCAGCATCATTTCAGGACTATAGCATATCCCATTCATAAGTATTGGTGGTGGCCAAACTGATAAAACCAAATACTTTCCTTATGCAATTTCTAAGGGTCTCAGATCCTTAAAATAATGAGGGTCTTATCAGCGATACATGCTCACTGGAAAAATGAAAGATCAATCCATGAGTAGGTGAATATGAAATCATTACAATAATACATCTGATCCACAACAGTTTAATCATCAAGCTAATATATGAAATAAGGCTCAGTAGTAAAGCTAAAACCAGCAAAACAAATGAACACCCAGTTCCTTCTTTTCACAGCCAAATGCTATGCAGGGGACCTTAAAATAAATGCTCACGGTGAGGTTTACTCAAAAGACACAAAAGAATGTTCCTGCTATTATAGCAGTCAAGACCACAAGAATGCTCCTATTTGTAAGTGAACCATTCGATAATGGCAAACCAAAACACCTATTTTGTAAAATATAAAGAATACAACAAAATCTAAAGCAAAAAACAACACAAACGGAAGAGATGTGCTAATCTTTTTTGATAGGAAACATAATTTTCATTTCATATAAAGATTCAAATGAACATAAATGATGGATAAGAAATCCACCCACAAGAGCAACTAAAAATTAAGTAAAACAAAAGAGCAGATATGCTAATAAGCACAGACACATATACATATGGATAAGATTTCAAAAATAGAAAAAATGCAAACCTGTACTCCTCGGTCCAACATTTTGTTCTCCAAACTGTATACCACCTCATCTGTTCCTGACGGTTTCTGGTTCGTAAGCCAACAAACATTAGCACCAACACCTCTTAACAAAAAAGCTAGCTCCATCAGCAGCAATGGTCCCCCTGTTCAAAAATATGTATGAAAGACATTAATAACTGGTAACCATAGGAGAATATAGACGTCATTATTTTTACCCTTGTTTCTTTTCAATTAGGAGGAAGACAACAAAGGAGGCAGAGAAGTAGCAAACTCAAAATGGTTTGACCTATTTCTTGCTAAATCACCTACCCAATTAAATATGATCAAAGAAAAGCAATGATTCAGGTTCACATAGTGTTGAGTACTATTAGGTTCACATTTTGTAGGCACTCATCTTGCTTTTGACAGCAACAAAAGCAACAATTGGTACTGACAAAAAAAAAAAGTAAGTTCTCTTCAATACCATATAAACAGCGTACATTAAATCATATTCTGCATGAATATTATTTCCTGCATCTACCAAACATTTTATGGCCATGTCCTCACAGATTACATAGATGTAGCAAACTCACCTATAACAATTCCGAATTCCCTTGGAAGAAATTTATGGTAATTGGACAATAGGAAAGTAAATATACACAAAATACTCATTGAATGTAATGACAGTACACTGCCGGTCACAAGATGCAGTAATAAAGTTCTTAAAGCAAGGCATCGATAGAGGCAATAAGTTCCCATGCACATGCAAGAAAACTACCCAACAGATATTCTTAACTGCTTATTTGTGCAGTTTGAGATTACGTAGTCGTGTCTCCTACCCAATCATACTTAGTTGAACTCAGATCCTGTCAGTACATAATGCGACAAACATCTATTTTGTCGAATTGCAAAATGGACTAACCTGCAACGAATCCAATGCAACGAACTTCCTATTTTGCAAATGAAAAGACAACTGGCAAGACATCATGGGCCTCTAATGAATGGAACTCAACAAACTAGAACTTTATCATGGGTAACATCATCGACCTCTAATGAATGGAACTCAACAAACTAGAACTTTATTATGCTTCACCCACACAATACCGTTGACAATTCATGTTTATTGCTTGATACTCATATTTTCCGTACAAGACTCCAATTAAAGTGGGCACATAAACAGTGGACATGCATGGAAACTGTTAATTGTAGAGCACTAAAGGTAATCGTTCCCATTCACATCTCTTGGCTTTTTCCCTTTTTCTTCACCATTATTTTTTTTCCAAAAGAATATATATATTTCTTCATTATTGACTACTTGATGAGCAAAGCTTTACACTAGTTGCTTCAATCGGACTGTAAATATAGGTGTTGAAGTCTGAACTATACTGTCTCTCACTACCCCCTCTTTGTCTCCTCTCATACGTATGCCCACACCACACACCCACATACAGATACGGAAGGAAATAGACTGTATCACTAAACAGAGAAAACTGCAACTGCATTATCTGTTATGCAAAACAGCCATCGAAACCAAGTCCTGCATCATTAGCTTCTTAATACACAAAACACCAAGCAGTATGAGATCTATGCAACTATTCACAATAACTCAAGTGAACTATGGGTATTATAGCTCTTCACGCATGATTAACTCTCAAATCACCCGATTGAACCTTTTGTTCACTCAAACGGATTAGAGCATCGCAATTCAGTAAGAAAATTAAGCCAAAAGTCCTTTTTTTTAGGTCAAAATATAAAATCAAAAATTCCATTAAATGAAACAAATAATTAACTGTTTCTGCATGCGGGAAAAAAAGTGATGAATAATAATTATATGAAACTTGAAGAGAGTATACCAGAAAGGGAGAGCTCATGAGAAACAAGTAGCACAGTCTTAGACTTCATGAAACTCAGTGGATTCGGAGAAGTCCCGACTCCAGTGTGCGGCTTCACAGACTGCGACTGAAACCGCTTCTCGGCGGCAACATCCAAGTGGCAGTCACACGACGAATCGAGCGTGGCTCGAATGACGAAAGCAATCACAGTGGTCACAGATAACATGACCAGAAGCGCCACGAACCATCGCTTCCGAAACACCGCCGAGGACGACTGCTTCGCCATTGCAGCTAGGGTTCGAGATGGCGATCTCCGTCACTGGTCTAGGCATTTTATTAGGGCTTCCAGTCTTGGTTTTGAACGATGCCTTGCGTACATTTGGCTTCGTGGTTGACACTTGGAAAGAGGGTTTTGGGGTTTTGTGGAGGGTTTGCTGGTGAGTCAGTAAGGGTTTGTTTCTAAAGTTCGACTGTTATGGAAAATCACCTTTGCTGAAATGAACTCGTATCGGGATTTAATTTGGTGGAGTTTGAGTAGCTGAGCTGATCAACATCTCTATATGTCTATCGCGAATCATCATTCATCAATATCAATTTTAGTGCTGGATCTCAGTGCTTTAGTTCGAATAGCTCCTCACTGTTGCCACTTTATGGCGACGAATGAGACGAAAATGGAAACATATTGACTGAAAAATGTAGGAGTGAATTGCATTTTGTACCCCCAGTATTTAAAAAAGTTTACTTCATACCTTTAGAGATTAAATATTTTTTTATTACAGAGATAATGTATTCAAAATATCACAATGTAATCTTTCTATTAGTTTTTGTTGTTTATTCTATCAATATCGAGATGATTTTTTACGAAATGAGCAATAAAAACTAATAAAAAAAATTTTAATTACACCTCTTCTAATTTATCACATCTTTAGGAATACTCCTTGTAGTTACTGAATTTTCACTAACACCCATATTAAAAGTGTTGATTAGAATGTACTAAATTGTAATGAAATATTGTAGAAAAAACTTCAACCACGCATTCTCCAAATACGCATATTTTCAACGAGACCTTTGTGTTTTTTAAATTTTTTTATATATTAAAATTTGATTTAACCTATTAAAATTTATTTTTTTACGTATTAAAATTTGAGTCAATTAAAAATTATATTATTTTACGTATTAAAATTTGAGCAGATTTTTCTTGGCTCAAATTTTAATATGTACAAAAATAAATTTTAATCAATACGAATTTTAATCGGATTTTATATAAAAATATTGTTTGAAATTTATGTAAGAGTAATTTTGGTATTTTAGATAAATAAACGGTTGTTCAACGACAAAGTATGTCGATGATGTTTAAATATAAACTAGAAAAGGTCGTAGTGATATTTTGGATAATAACAAAGATATCCTTGAAAATATGATAAATTAGAAGAAATGTGACTGAAATTTTTCTAAACTAATAAAATATTATATTATAACTAGTTATTTCTCATGCCTGAAAGGTATGGAGTAATATAAAAAATAATTAACAATAAAAATATTTGTATTTGTACTCAAAATTAAATCGCAAATAAAGAGAAGAAATAAAAATTTTTAAGTACCAGTGATAATGGTGGTAAACGATAGTAGTGATGGTGAGGTGGCAGTGGTTATGGTGGGAAACGACGATGATTGTGATAGGTGTCGACAATCATAGTGATGATGGTGGTGGTGGTCGTGGGTTACAACGGTGATGGCGGTGGGGATTTTGGATGATGATAGTGGCAGTGGCAACGATAACCATGTGTAACGGTAGTTGTGGTAGTGGGTGTAGGTGGTGGGGCGACGATAATAGTTGTTGGCAGTGATGGTGGTGGTTGGCATTGACAGTGTGAGCGGTGACGATGGTGGTGATGGGTGATGAAAGGTGTTTTTTGGGCGACAATGTAATGAGTGATGACAAATGACAATTGTGGCAAAAATGGTGGGAGTGGGTGACAGTAGATAGCAACAGTGGTGAACAATGATGGGCGGTGGTGGTTGGTGGGGTAGATGTGGTGGTTGTGGATAACAATGGCTACCAGTGATAGTGGGCGATAACTTATGATGGTGGGGCAACAATAATGGTGGTGAGTACTGACGGTGGTAGTGGGATGATGGTTATAGTTGTAATAAATACAAGAATGAGATGACGATGGTGGTGATAGTGGACGACGATGGTATCAATCGATGGTGGATGACAATATTGGTGGTGGTGGTGGTGGTGGGGGTGGGGGTGAGGGTGAGGGGTGGCAGGGCAACGGCGGTGGTGGAAGCAGCGGTGGCGATGGTAGTGGTAGTGGTAGTGGTAGTGGTGGTGGGGGCGGTTCCAAACATTGTTTTTTTTTTTAAGTATTTATAAAAAAATATAAATTTTAAAAGCACTTTTAAAAAGTTACTATNGGCGGTGGTGGAAGCAGCGGTGGCGATGGTAATGGTAGTGGTAGTGATAATGATAGTGGTGGTGGTGGTGGGGGCGGTTTCAAACATTGTTTTTTTTTTTTTAAGTATTTATAAAAAATTATAAATTTTAAAAGCACTTTTAAAAAGTTACTATAAGCACATTCTTATGGAGCCTATTTTCCTTATTAAATTTGATATGTTAATATTAACTATCGAATTAATTTTAAAGTAAAATTTAAAGAGATCTCAACTGTGAAAAATAAAAGTCATTTTCTTTATCTTTTGAAATTTGAATTGTATGATATTTTGTTATATAGATATTTTTAATAAACTGAATATATGATATCAAAATTTTAATTACAACGTAAAAAAGTTTAAAATTTTTTGGAATACAACATATTATTCCCCCCAAACTTTAAACGTATTCTTTCGGTAAATTACGGTAACAACCTTGACATTTGGGTTTATTTTTTGAGGGTGGGATTAAATTGTACTTAAAATGATTGGGTGGGAAAAAATTGTACTTAAAATGATTGGGTGGAATCTCAATCCCAGACCATGCGATTATTAACCTACTTAAACATTTTCCTGTCAACTTTCCAAGTCTCCTTTCGAGTTTAAAATTTCAACTATCTCCATTCTAATGTATAATATCTTCAAAGACGTCTACTTTATTTTTTAATCTTCACTGACATCTTTCGAATTTATATTTTAAAATCACTGACTCCCTTGCTCCTAAATTACCGTTTCTAACAAAAAAGTTTTATCTAAAATACTAAAATTACCCCTCAATAAATCTTAAATAATCTTTCTACATAAAAACACAAGTTGATTAAAATTAATTTTTTTATATATTAAAATTTAAATCTACTAAAATTTATTTTTCTACATATTAAATTAGAANTTAATCTTCACTGACATCTTTCGAATTTATATTTTAAAATCACTGACTCCCTTGCTCTTAAATTACCGTTTCTAACAAATTTTTTTATCTAAAATACTAAAATTACCCCTCAATAAATCTTAAATAATCTTTCTACATAAAAACACAAGCTGATTAAAATTAATTTTTTTATATATTAAAATTTAAATCGACTAAAATTTATTTTTCTACATATTAAATTAGATTTGAATTGATTAAGATTTTTTTTACGTATTAAAATTCGAGCCGATTGTGTTTGAGTTGACTAGTGTTTGATACGAACCTATATATTTATGTATAATATATATTTATTTTCTTTGTTAATTTTTACATATTGATGAAATAAAAATAACAAAAAAATAATTTTTTAAAATTATAGAATTTTTTTTCCTCTGGATATATTTTAACAGCCGGAGATGCTTATAAATCGATCTCAAGTATAGGGGTATAAACGTANTTATGTATAATATATATTTATTTTCTTTGTTAATTTTTACATATTGATGAAATAAAATTAACAAAAAAATAATTTTTTAAAATTATAAAATTTTTTTTCCTCTGGATATATTTTAACAGCCGGAGATGCTTATAAATCGATCTCAAGTATAGGGGTATAGACATTTGTGTTATTATTCTCACTTAACACACACTGATGGGAGGTGTATCCCTTCGGGGTTCGGCTCCTTTGTGGTAAGTTGGTTACCGCATGATATGCGGTTAAGTGGAACGACACCGTTTTCGGTGTTTTTTATAATTTTTTTTTTCATATTCCTAACAAAAAACGACGTCGTTTTTGGTTCTTCAAATCAACATCTAAAAATCCCTTCTCCTACCTTCGACTTCTTCAAACTGTGGTTGTCTTTTCTCATAATCTCACTCAGGCGCCTTCTCTCTCTTCTCCTACCTTCGGCGACTAACGACCTTCGCCTACCCTCCACCAGGAAGACAACGTTGCCTTCTTTCCTTCTCTCNCCTTTGTGGTAAGTTGGTTACCGCATGATATGCGGTTAAGTGGAACGACACCGTTTTGAGTGTTTTTTATAATTTTTTTTTCATATTCCTTACAAAAAACGACGTCGTTTTTGGGCCTTCAAATCAACATCTAAAAATCCCTTCTCCTACCTTCGACTTCTTCAAACTGTGGTTGTCTTTTCTCATAGTCTCACTCAGGCGTCTTCTCTCTCTTCTCCTATCTTCGGCGACTAACAACCTTCGCCTACCCTCCACCAGGAAGACAACGTTGCCTTCTTTCCTTCTCTCGCTGATCACTGTCCAGTGATCAGGTAACCCATACTATACTCTTTCTCCACCTTCTCTCATTTGCTAATCGTTGACCAACAACATCAATAAATTATACTATTTTTGGTTATTGATTTTGAGAGAAGGCAACATCAATAAATTATGCTAATTTTGGTTTTGTTGCACGAAGTTAGATGACCACAGTGGTAGTTTCAGAATTGAATTCATGTATATCATTTGTCAGGGGCATTCGACATGATCATTAAAGGATATTTGAGACTATTGATATTTCCACTGACCTGAAATTTGATGATGTATTTGCTTCATATTTAGCCATTCTTGGTGAGGAAGTGGTAATATAAATCATTTTCTTGGGTTATTCTTTACCAATGTGCATGACAATGTTCCCTCAATTGAAGGGTGTGTCATTGACTCCTTGTTTGTTGATAGGCGTATTCTGATTAAGTCTAAATTTGAGTTAGGTTTTTACCCATTCCTTTAAGCTACTTCAACAAGGAGCTAATGATAACCCTGTACTTTAATCTTATATTCTTATAGTTAGGCAAGTAGATAGATAGTAGTAGTTTACGAGGCCTGCTTTCTGAAAAGTAATGGTATCCTTTTGTCTGTTGATTAAGTTGTTTGAGACATAGTATACGGAAAGAGATTCACACTTCATGAAAAGTAGATGACATTGTTTGTGATAGTCCAATTGCAACTAAAATTCTAGTTTTCTAGAGTAAATTGGTGGCTGAAATAATTATTGACCGAAGCATTGTGGGCAATAGCTTCAAAGTGAGTAAGTTACTAACCAGAGTTATGTAAATATCTTGAAGGTGAATAAATTTTTTTGATCTAGTTTTGACCATAGTAGGTTAGAAGCAAATACTTAAATCTTTGCTATTATAGCTTTTGTAAGACGTGGGAATATGTGTTTGCGTGATATCGATCTTTGTATTTCTTCCTGTGATACTTGATGGTGGTTGTGTAAGTTTTGAATTTCTCTAATACATTACTAATTTCTTTTTTATTGTGATACGCATCTTTTGGCATTTCAAAACAAGTATTTACATTTTGTCCAGGAATTCAAACTGCTATTAGGAACATGCTAAAAAAACATTAAATTTTAGTGCTACCCCATGGAGAGTGAACATGAATGTTGAGAGTTAATTGCAGTGAACATGAATGTAGAGTGAATATGAATGTTGAGTGAATATGAATGTTGAGCGTTAATTGCAGTGAACATGAATATAGAGTGAACATGAATGTTGAGTTTTAATTCATATTTGAATGCTTCTAATGGGCTATGGAATGTTGAGTTTTAATAACCATTGTCTTTTTCATATTTGTAGTGTTGAAGATTGATATCTTCAAGCACGACAAAAAGCAACGGCAAGTTAAGATATCGCAATATGCTATGCACCAATTGTAAGAAAAGAGCGACTATCAAAGTTTTCGAATCTGAAAAACATCCTGGGAACTATATTACAAATATCCGGACGAGGAATGTCAATTTTTTAGGTGGATGACTTCTATTACTCTGCCTTCTTTAAAAATTACAAATGAAAGGATAAATGTACGACGAATTGAAGAAGATGTAATGACATTGAAGTTGAAAATTGAAGAAGTTTGTAATATAGTTCAACGTGTTGAGACAAAAGAAGGAGTAATGAAATCATATATGTTTGTAGTCACGTTACTAGTGGTGAAGCTTTTGTTTGTGATTCTAGTGAAGTAGAGATGTAAGAGTAATGATGTATTGATGAAACTTGTGTTGTAAATGAACTTTGTGGGTTTAATTTGAATGAAATTGTGGTTTTGTATAGTGTTGTGACTTGAAAAAAAAATCATGTTCATCAAAAAAGATCACGTTCACAAAAAAGGATAATGTTCATAAAAAAAATCACATTCATTAAAAAAATGGTTCATAACCATAATCATGCATCATGATCATGTTCATTAAAAATACAAAATAAATGGTTTTCAACAAAATGATCCAACAAACAACTAGTAACCCCCAAATATCCTTACAAGTTGTATCCCTCATTCATGAAAAATGATTCAGCATCATTTAAACAATGCACATTTGTTGAATCAATCAGAGTACCCTACATTAATGAGAAACAGTCAGACAAAGAAACTTGGTACATATGTGAAACAATAAATTAGTAATAAGGTAATATACCATAACATTTTGTAAACTATTTAAAGCTTGAGAAGACAATATGTTCGAATAACCATATGTTGATGTACATGGGTGATTGAAACCATATACCTGAAATACAAAAATACTTACAATTATGTTTACAAAAATATGAAGTGACTAAAATTATGCCAAAGTTTGTGATAAGTACATTTATGTTTATAAAACTATGAAGTGAATTAAAAAAATCTACAATTATATTTATAAGATATCATATAAATATGTGATGGTTGAAAAACTCTCTTTTTTCTCTTTGTTATTTTCTCATGCCAAGATTTTACTTGACTCCAAACCTTGTAACCTCCCTCTTTTTTTTTTAAACCTTTAACTTAGAGAAGGTTTGGGTCAACATTTTTTATTCATTCTTCATGGATTGAATCATCGTCACCATCACCAATTGATGCACACATATTATCCACTTATTTGAACAATTCATCAACACCACGTGACACCAATTGATATGCAAGTTGAAGACCAGAGCATCGAGCAACTAGTTTTACCATTCTAGGATAAAGTTGTTTGTAACGTGACGCCACCATTAACTTTAAATCCTTTTCATTTGACATTGAAATTAGGGCTTTCCTACAACTCTGTCTTGCATCTCGTCTCCATCTCTTAGATATATATTGCTCATAAATTTGCTTAATATTCCTCATGTCCAAGACTTTAAGTGCATGGCCACATAATATGTCCTCCATTCCAAATTTTTGACAACTACAATTGACTATCTCCTCGTTAGCCTTAATTTTCGACAACTACAATTGACCAAATTCGCTGTCATATCAATATTAATGTCTTGTGTTCCGGTAACCTTTTGTTAGGATGACATCATATACATACATTCAGTAAGGTACAAAAAATGGTTGTGGTTGTCGCTCATTTCATCACAACAAATTTGTCAATTTATCTATTAAAAGATATGCATATATAAGCTTGACAATTTGTTCGTGTCTCTGCTCGAGGTTTCCTTATTTGCCACTCTCTTTTATCACGAACCCTTTGACCTTATTTACAACAAACATACTTTCTGTAAATAACAATGCCATCTTTTGAACTTTTATTTTGAAAATCTTTTCTCACGCTGAATCCGGCAGACCCTCCATAATTATTGTAAAACGCATAAGTATTTTCCTCCGCGTCAAATTGCATATCAATATAAGGTCTATTCTCAGTTGCATTAACTCCCAAATCATCCATCGTAGTATCCTACAATAAGAAATTTAATTGAAATAACATTATACGATGAATGAAACACATAATATATGTATGACATTAAAAAAAAAATCAAATTACCAGCAACTGCATACCGACTTTGTTAATAAACAATAGGTTACATATATCTTCTATGACTACTTGCATTCATAGATAGAACTGACAGAATACTGAGAATGAATTAAAGTCAACACTTGATATCTCATTCTCTAGATGTCATGTGCATAAGATTACATAATTATTAAAAAAATTAATCAAACCTGACATAAATTGTATTATGAGATTTATATTTCAGCTTAACAACAGTTTTCAGAATTTAAAATATGACACTATCAAATCCATTAACAAGATCAAAAAACACAAAGCATGACATTACCTGATTCATTAACAATCCAACAAGAATAAAAAAAAATGTACAAAGAAATTGGCTTCATTATTCCATTATTTTTATTAATCAAGAACTTCATCAAACAATCTCTAAGCTTCAAATATCCATCAACTCAGGATTCAACCTATACATTAAAACACAAAATTCGAATTCATTGATAGCCCCATCTCCATCCAAGTCTCCTTCTCTTACCTGGCTTTTGGCCTCACCGCATTTGACGAAGAAGAAGAGGGAGAATGAGTTGATAAGAAGGCGGGAGAAGAAGTCAGTTTGATGAAGAAGAAGCAGGAGAGAAATAAAGGATTTTAGATGTTGATTTGAAGGATCAAAAATGACGTCATTTTTGGTAAGGACTATTAAAAAAAAATTATAAAAAACACCAAAAACGTTGTCGCTCCACTTAACTGCATATCATGCGGTTACCAACAAACCATAGAGGAGTCGAACCCGTCAACGACGGTTCAAAAAAAAAAATGTTCTTAAAGATATAATAAACTAGAAATAGTGTGTCTAAAATTTTTATAAGAGATTAATATGTTTTCAAAAAGCCCACCGAGTATTTAGAGTGAATAGTTCATAATTGCGCAAACATGGTAACGACAATTTGTCAATAGATTGTAACGATGATTCACAAACATTCTCATGATATCATTAGATTATAGGACTAAACTTTTAAATATGAATTGAAAATACGTATGTGCATATTGAGAGTACAATGCAACCAACCAAGTGATAAATCTTATGGCAATTTCGTCACACTCTTATATCCTTCATTTTGATCACACAAATCTGAGAAGCATATGATGCCCAATGAGACGAATACATGTCCAAGTTGATCAATTCCCTATATAGCATTGAACACGAGTGTTTAAGGATAAAACACAACTAGTATCATGACTCATTCGGCAATAGTAGTCAACCCAAATGATAAATGAATAAAGTTTGATTTTATGTGTGATCATATCAGTACTTGTGCACTGAATTTCATCAGAACTCTACAGTCAAACATGATTGAGCAAAAGTAGTACTATGATGGGGTGATCCTCTAAAAAGTCCTTGTATTGCACCTCTTTCTTTTTTGAAAAAGAATGATAAGGGATAGTTCAAGTGATAATAAGCTGTAAATTAAAACGTCCTGAGTTTGATTTTAGCAATCATTTGGAAACATGTCATACGAGATAAATCCCTCATGAATATGCTAGTTCTAGCGTTAATGACTTGTCTTTAACAGAACAAAAAAAAGATTAGACAAAGTGTTCATATATCGGCCCGAACACTCATGACCATTGAATTTTTTATTTATTTATTACAAGTCTATTTATGTCTTTTCAGGCGTGTTCTCAATCAATCAAGGACTATGAAAAGGTCACATAACTTCTCAATTAAGGCTTTTGCCTTCACCTAAGGGAGACACAATCCTTACCGTTAATAACTATTTTATGAGCTCTTAACTTGATAATCAAACTACTCATTATGTTTTTCAAATGTGCTTTCAACCAAATAATTGTAAAAGGCATGTGTAATTTTGCCCAAGACTAGGGTCATTCATCCAAAGGAATACAATCTTTGCTTAAAATAACGTCATCATTATTCCACATATATTTTATAATCATGTTTTCTAATATTAACATGCACCAATGTTATCTTATTTATTCGTATTTTTAGTTTCAATATTCATCGCGCTCAGTTGTGGTAGAGTGACAGAGTAATGGTACCAGATGTTAAGGGGAAAGAAGTGAGTTGGTCTTGATGAAGCCCAAGGAGTTTCGTATGTTATAGTCTAACCCGGATTAAGTATATAGTTCCCTTCCTGGTCTAGGTTAAGATTCCAAACTTGCCCTATCCCTTAAAGCCCCAGAACTCTAGGTCTACTTCTACCTAAATATATACAATTTGTCTTCTCTACATTACAATTTATGCTCAATTATTATATTTATAATATAAAACTATATATACTTCAATAAGTCCATTTAACGGTTTCAAATAAACTCATTCAACGACCATCAATATCTATACATATATAAACTATTGCATCCGCNTTCAAATAAACTCATTCAACGACCATCAATATCTATATATATATACACTATTGCATCCGGATTACTCATGGTTTCAAATGAAATTGAATTAGGTTTTCCTTTCATGTTGCTTATTCATAACTACTCTTGAGACTTATAATCCATCAACTATTGCCAAAAATGTCATTTCAAAGTAAATAATTACCTTTGAAAAAAAGTAAATAATTAAAAAATATGATGAAGATATTATCTATCTTAATTATCACATAAACACATACACACATATTTACCTCTATAAAAGGACATATATTGTGAAAGTGCATAATCCAAATATTTGATGTTTTTTGAAGTATAAAAAAAAAGACGAATTATACTTTACATTTAGAAAGATTTAAGATTTTTTTTTAATTTACATTCTCAAATATTAGATTTTCATATTGCATTCTTAATATATTAAAAAATTATAATGTGACTATTTTGTTCATTTAAATACTTATTCTGTCAATATCAATGGAGTGTTTGTTGAATGAATAAACAACAAAAGCTAATAAGAGAATCACATTGTATACTTTTAATACGTCAAGGGCATGTTTGGTAGAAGGATTAGATGGTATTATAGGGTGAGATAGAAGGAAATAGCACTTGGGGCTCATTTTATACCTTGNAAAAGAATCACATTGTATACTTTTAATACGTCAAGGGCATGCTTGGTAGAAGGATTAGATGGTATTATAGGGTGAGATAGAAGGAAATAACACTTGGAGCTCATTTTATACCTTGTTTGTTTGACATTTTACACCCAGTACTATTTTTTGGGTCGTAATACCGATCCAGTTTGAACAGTGTCCTAAGGGCTCGTTTGGTAGACATATTATGAGAGGATTAAATATTAGATTGCACTATTTTTTATTTAATCAGACCTAATATTTTGTTTGGTAAGCAATTTTAAGTTTGTATTAATTTAAAAAACATATACTAATCATATACTTATCGTATATTTTTTATACACCACACATGTATTATGGAGGTATTTTAATATCACCAGAAGAGGTGATATTATAATCCACCTCAATGTATTATTTTACAAGACTACTATTATAACCCCCATATCTAATAAAATCAACTTATCTTCAACGTAAATTATACTTTGTCAGATGCACGTTTCTCACTCCCATTGTTCTTCACCGGCTACTATCAACAGGAGGTCTTGGCGAGGTAAGGTGTCTTCTTCTTCAGCGTTTCGATTTATGTATGCATGTTTCCTTTTCGTTTTTTGATTTCTTGTTGGAGGCGGCTACACGGTGGTGGTGGTGAGGTGTGGCTGATGGTTCAGTGATGTATTGATTTCTAAATTTTATTGGTTTTGTTGGGGTGGCTTGTAGCAGTTATGGTTTGGTTTAAAGGCAGCGAGGTTGAATGTTCTCATCATTATGGTTGAAGGAGGGATGGTTCACCAATTTTTTTGCTGGGAAATCATTAGTGGTGTGGCGTTAGTGTGAATTGTGGAATACGGTGAAAAAACTCTTGAGAAAGCTTGGAACCAACTTCATTTTTTTTTTCGCCTTTGTTCAAACTTTTTGTTTTAGTTTTCTTTTTCCAACTTTTGTGGTTATTTGGTGCTCATGTTGGGTTAAGATGGCTGCAAATTTTCATTTTGGTTCAAATGCACTCATTTTTGTTGCAATTTAATTGACCAATTAGCTGTTAAAATTAACATTGTTGTTGTTGTTATAAATCACTCTTTGGTTTTTGATGCTTGAATTTTTTTATGGAGTGAAGGATGGATAGTTTTTTGAACTGTGCGAAAAAAGCAAAGATAGAGCTAGGGTCTATGGGGTCCTTGAGCAAATTGAAGGGCTAAATTTCTTTGAGAGAATAAGAGCTAGACAGATGATTGTGAATGATCAGAAAAGGGTCGATTACTTCTTCAGCTTGTGTGATATTGCGAAACCATATTGATTGCAAATGCTTCTTGATGGTAAACTTTAAAGTGAGATGATTTTCACTTCGGTGGTGAATTCATGCCATTTTCTAATTATAGTAATAAATAAGTTGACTTAACATAGAATTTAATGTGACTTTTAATTTTTAATTTTTTAGTTTTTATCTGTAGTTTTGAGTTGTTACGTGGATTTGTCATGGTTTTGACAATGGTTCACATAAATGAATTGATTTGAATAAAATCTTATTTTTTTGATTGATGGTGTTTTGATTGATATTATTGTCAATTAATTATTACTGTTATTAACTCAATGGAATTTTGTTTAACTTAATGAAATTTTTTTTGTAAGTATAAAATGAATAAATTTGATCTTTTTTGTAATAGGGGGTAAATCTCGATCATATTCCCGATTAATGATGATGGCATTTGGAGGGGATCATGATATCATTCATGTTGTTGGCAGTGTCCAACACTATAATTAATTATGAGTATTTTTGTTAATTTAACATTAATACGATGTAATAATTTTCTAACAAAACAATAGATTGGACTAAATAATTATTATTCAACGCTTATATTGTATATGTCAAACACTAGATAAAATTAAGTATTATTCTAATACCCTATTTAATCTTGTATTTTATTCATCTGTATTGCATTAGCCTGTATTAATTTATCTAATCCGTTCATTTTTAATACGGTAACCTAACGAGCCCTAAATGTCTTCTATATGGTATTAATGAATACCACCAACCCGGTGATATTATCTTCTCGGTATAAATGAAACGACGGTATAAAAGAGTAAAATGACACAAATGCTTTCCTTTGTTAAGAGTTCACATATAAAAAATTTATTTTAAAATTTTTTATTATATTATGTTTAAGCATACGATGTCATCGGGTTTTTTTAAAAAAAAATTATTTTGAATTTTTTCTTTATATTATGTTTAAGCGTACGATGTTATTGGTTTTTTTTTTTAAATTATTTTGAATTTTTTTTGGATATTATGTTTAAGCGTACAGTGTTATTGATTTTTTTTTTAATTTTTTTTAAAAAAATATTTTAAATTTTTTTATATTATATTTAAGTGTACGGTGTTTCCAGTTCATATTATCAGATTCTTTATTTTTTATATAAATTTTTTACATTATCCGGTATTTTTTAGATTTAGATTGTTATATTATGTATTATACCAAATATTGTGCAAAAGTGTTACACAAATGGAGTAATGGAATGAATGATGTTAAAGGTAAAATGATATATTTGTTATATAAGATATGATAGAATAGATGATTGTTTGTAAGACCCACTATAATACCTATTGATCAAACAAATATGAGAGGGGATTGAAATACTTTTTATTATCAGCGGTACTAATTTTCATTAGTATTGGAAATGTAAGAAATACATTTCCAATACCATTCATATTTAATTCCCCAATCTAACATGCCCCAACGATATAATATAAAAAATTTAATATTTTTAAAGATATAATATGAAAAATCTTAAATTTTTTTGGGGGATAAAATGAGATTCCCCCAAAAAAATCCAAGTAATGATTTTGACGGAGTGTCTTAATAAATTAATAAGAACCATCGTCAACCAGTGATTAAAGAAAAAACACAAACAAATAAAGGAATGTTCAAGGGGTACTTCGGTCATTCGAATCTCTTGTGCTTCACTAACAGGCAAAAGCACTATTTTCTGTAATAGTCGTGGTACGTTCTTCATTCTAACACCGCCAAAAGACATTCAGGTACTCCTCTCGAACTTCGGACTTATCGCGCAATTTCAATTTCCTCTTTGTTGCTCACTGTATTCAAGAATTCAGTTGTCGAATCCGCTTTCAATCTCGAAATCTTCATTTCAGTTCATATATTCATGCATTGTAGCGTTCTTCAATGATTAATAGACTCAGGTGAAAACACGTTCAATCAAATCCAGATTTTTTTGTTCTTGTAGTTTTAAAGATTGATAAATATTATTTTGTATTCAGAAGAAATTGTAGGTCGATTGCAGTTGATTTTAAACTAGATTGGTTTAATTGTTAAGAATCATCAGAATGATCTCATATGTGTCCAGTTCCTCTGTCAGTTTAGGGCATTTAAGTTTCAGTGTTGGATGAATCATGAATGTTCTTACTTATTGGCATTGCCGATTGGAATCTATGCTTTGACTCTTTTTTTTTGCCTTCTACGCTCTCATTTTTTGCTTGATCTATGTCATTTACAGGGACTCTCTAGTTTGTAGTCTTTAGTTCAGTCTCTACGAGATTGCCTTACGTTTTCAGCATATAATCGTCATTGAGATTTTGTGAACTGCGTAACTTAAAATGTCATTCGAGTGTTGAGATCCATGTTAATGTAGTAAAGGAATATTTCTCTAGTGCGTAGCTCATGTAACTTAATTGGCAGGCAGGACATGATCGTGTAGTCTATATCGAAGGGATGCAAAGTATGAAAAGACCGTTAGAAGTCTGTAGTCTATATCGCTTGTTTCTTAGCATAATTGCAGGTAAAATTGTTTCTTGTTCCTGTTTCAAGTATAAATGAATTGTATGGTTGTTCCCAATATCTGTCATAACTCTACATAACTAGTGTTCCTTTTTTTGCATGTATGCTAGCTCTTCTTTACCAACCACTTGGTGCTGCTTCAGTCGTGGTACCCAGTACCAGTTGCTATGTTCTTGACAACTCCAGCCACATTTACGATTTTGTATCCTATAATATATTTTAAATTTACAAAACATAAATACTTAAGGTGCAAAATCATGTAGAATACACGAGGTGTGGGATTTCCTGAGTTTGCACACCCTGAAGATCTCCTGAGTGCACTGTTTTTTCATGTGAACTGCTCTAATGAATCTGTCTGAAAGTTAGATAGTGGTGATTAGGGTCAGTGATAGGGATCACCTTCAAAAATGATTTTTATTACGAATTATGATTGGACGGATCCTTCTCAATGAGGGTTGCCAGTTTAGGTTAAATCTGTGGGTTGTCAGTCGACTTGGAATTATGATTATGAGGCTTCTGCACCCTCATCACTCAACTTTCTTGTGCCAGTTGCCAAATGCAGTCTTACATGCCACCTTTGGTTCTTGAAATTGCAGAGAGGATAGAAAGTAAACTTACAAGAATTGTTTCTTGGCTAAAGTCTATTTTGTCATTCCTCGTTCCCCCAAAATCGAAACAGAGCATAGAGGCTGTACTTCTTACTGAACATTATTAGGACCATATATTGAATATGAAATGTGAACAATTGCATTAAATTGTTTTTCTTAAGCTGTTGCTCAGAGTAGCTGGATTGGATATACTTTGGAGTATGATGGGAAGGTAACGTCTTATATGATAGTCAAGCATCACGGGTACCAGGATTTGATGAGTGAACTGCTAATAAAATTCATTTCGAAGCCCCCCATGTATGATGCCTTTGTGTTCATGCAGGATACTGATTTGGCCATTCGGTTTTGTAAAGATGTGGAGACTAGATCGCAACTGGTACTTAAATTTACCCCGTATTTTTATCCATAGAATGATACATGTGTGTGTGAATATATGTTTTCGTTTTTTTGCCTTAAACTGTTGGACCATAGTGGAAATGTCATCTCTTGTTAATAATACTCATGTTCAATTATGCGGTGATATTTTGCTTTTAAGAGTAAGTTATCCTGTCAGAATGGATGCCTGCCTCCACCCGCCTATTTAAATTAAAATTACCGCAGTCAGGGAAGTGATTGTCCGTACAGAGAACAACTACATTAGTACATTTGTCAAGGGCCTCAAGGCTATGGTGCTGGATATAACTAAAGCTTATGTTGCTGCTTCCAATGACATTTAATAAAGCATCTGATTGGTCAATTCCCTTACGTTTTTCTATAAGCAACAAAAATTCTATGGAAATGCAACCGAGTATCTCTTTAATTTACACTGTTGCCGTATCATAGTAAGCAAAATTGGCTTGCTCGATGACTCGATAAACCACTGGGTAGCGGCATTGTAACTTATTGGCTGTTGTTTACTCCCTGTAGCCAGTGCACTTACACAGGACGCATTCACAATGTTGCTATCAGAAAATGCTACAACAGAGATTAAAATTTTAGATAATTGGAAGTCTTTCCATCGATGCTCTAAACATGCTGAAAATATGCATGGACACACGTAACACATTTTTGGTGAGTATGTCAGGTGGAGATTACATGGGTCTTATCACTGAAACAAATTTGGAATTAGAATTTGGAACAGACTAATTGTAGTATGGGCGTTGGACTTTCTGGGCATGAAATAGTGTCTAATATTTGTTAATGTAGAAAGAAGTGCAAAAGGACGAGTCCATTGCTTTGCTGGTCACTCTTTACCACTGCCCATATCTACAGCCAGTACAAAAGTTATAACCTAACTTTGATGTGCCATGATAAGAAAACTGAGATTCAAAGAATCTTCTTTCAGAATCCATAAATCCAACCGTTGGAAAACATTGAAGCTATAAGCATTTTTACATAGCTACTCAATCAGAGTGCTGCTGCTGTTTTATGTGCATCTTACATCTGTGGCCGCTCATTTTGATATTGGTATGATGCCCATTGTACTTATATGTGGTCATAAATTTGCAGGGCTATGTGGATTTTGGCAGATTTGATAAATTCAACTATTTTGTTGCTGGTTCGGGACGCGTTAACTTTGTTCAAGTAAGCTGTAATTTGCAATCCTTATTTTTGTGAACTTTGTATGTTGAAGCTGAGTAGGTGATAGATAGCGCAATTTGATTCCCTTCGATGATCCTCTTATGCGCTAACTGCTGATCCAAGATGATAATCTTGCTAATATTTTGCAAGCTCTTTATTAGAAATGAGATTATTTTTAGATAGTTAGTGGAGAAGGACAAGGGTGGAATGAGATCCCTCATCAATAGAAAAGTCTGAAACAGAAAAAGAGAATAAAATTGTTCTGTAAGTAGCTCCTATAAACCAAAAATGGACCAAGACGTGTGGGAAAAAAAGAAAAAATCTTTCTTAGTCAAGTTGTATGTCTTTGAATTTATAGATATGGGTACCCATGATATTTGCCTAAAGAGATGAATGCAATTTCTGAAATCCCTAGATATCGCAGCCGTGTATCGTTATTTGTGGAGGATCTTGTAGGTGTAGTGAAGAATCGAAGGGTTTCAATCATTTGGAGTTGTGCCATTATGGCCATTTTTTGGATAGTTTGATTATAAAGAAATTGGAGAATTTTTCAAATGGTGAACCTGTGGATTGTATTTGCCATGGAGTAAAGTTCTTGGCTTTTTTTATAGGCATCAGCCGCTAGTGAATTTGGAGATGTTTGCTTATTTTCCTTCAATGATAGTTGGAATCCGATTGTCTTTTGTAATGGCTAGCTTTAGTTGGTCTTGTATATCATGAATTGTGCAGCTAATCTCACGTTACTTCTACACGTGCAGGAATTTTACAATGGTGACCTGCTGAATTGTGAGCATGGTTATGACAAGATGGGGCGGACCGCACATGTTAGTTGTGTACCTTTATATCCAAACAAATAATCTGTTATGTTTAGTTCTTATGATGCTCTTGAAAGTACACAAGACTCTTTTATCCCACTTTTTTGTGGTTGAATAGCTGGTGTAGGAGAGTGGGGGCTTACAATACATTGTTAACTGTGCAATTTTGAAGTTTCTTCTATTCAATTCATATGCATTTCATTCTGTTTTCCTGTTGAATTCTAGGTAAATATCATATGTGGGAGTTGTCTAGATGGACAATGTAAAGGTATGTAAGTTTCTTTCCTTTTTTGAGTGCAACTTTGAATTTGGTTTATGATTGTCCCCAAAAGAACGGGGTCTGGGTAAGTTAGTCCCATTTAAGGAAAATTATGATGCATCTGGACATTGGTGCATTTTTTACTCCACTTTTTTTACCTCTGCATTTTAGTTGCTCTTTGAAACTGAATTTGATTTGATGGAATAAAATGTTTATTGTGGTGTCATGATGAGATTATAAATATCTATCAAGGGTCAAAACTATAGGAATGTTAGGACACCCATAGACGCACAGTTAGAGTACCATGAATAAAATTAAAGTTTCTCCTAAAAAGTGAGCCAATATTAGAGGCGCACACAATGCTTAATGAATTGCTCAGCTTTATTCGCACATAGGGGTCATTGGGTGGTGTAATGGGCTGTAAGCGCAAGAGCAGCTACTTTGTCCAAATTATTCGAAAGGTTAGGATTTTTCAAATCTACGCCTTTCAGCCCTCTGCATTGGTGAGGTCCAAACTAGTAGGAATGGCATTTGCCTCATATTCTTTATTTTATTCACTTTTTGATCAGTTTAGAGGCCGATCAGTTAACTCCCATTCCTGCCGCATCTAGCTTGAATGTCAATTCAACCTCCGGTCTGGTGGAGCGAAAATTGAGCTGGTGCATAGGGCATGAAGGCTGGTAGTCCCACTTAATCAGACTATCTCCATGTTGATTTAGGCCGTCGATTTGGTATGAAGTTGGTGTTACATACAGATTCCTCTCAATCTCCACAGGTTATTCAGATGGATCTGCATTTGCTTCAGCTGGTGTCTGATGGAAAAGATATATTTGCTGAGTTTTGAGCTGCATGCTAATGGCTTTTTTTTCGTTTGATGTCCCATAATTCTGTTTTTAAGAAATATTAGTTGGGATAGTTAAATTACCTTAGTGATTGGAGTCACTTTAGGAGCCATTTGTGTGTTATTGCTGTGGTTCCTCATATAAGGATTCCTAAACAACCTTGTGGGGCTTTGATTATGGATTAGATGAACCAGAGTGTTGCATGTTTTGATTAATATCTAAGTTTGAGGCACAACACTTAACTTTTCTGTTTAGCATTTTTCTTAGGCCTCGGCTTAGCTTTTTACCTACTTTTCGTTTATTACAGCTGGTCTCATTGTGTCTCAACTTGCACAGTAAATTCAGCTGCAAGCTTCTTGCCTCCTAAACAATGATTTATTTTATGAACTCTGGATTCATCCCTCTATATATCTAAGCATGGTAGGTGGAGTTGTTAGGAGAGATTAGGCTGGCTTATTGTTGCTTACCTCGTTTGCATGTGCATGATGTGTAAATGTGAGAAGGTGAGTATTGGGGGGTAAATGTTACAGGACCTTTTGGGGCAAATGTCTGAAGCTAAATAACTTAATAACACGAACTATGATCTCACGTAGTCCAGCTCCTGGGGAGAGTTATGAGGCCTTAAGACAATTGTTTCTGATTGGTCATTTCCATTCATTACTTTATCTATTTTGACTTCAACTTGAAGGAATCAATACCAATTTTTTCATTCAAATATTAAAGAAAATTTTGGTGATAAAATATTAATTATTGGACGTGGAACAAAGTTGGTTCCTGAAATTTTGTTAGTCACTAGAGAGCATTAATTTATTGAAAAATATTAGATGTAAGGGCATTGGATGTAGTTGGGATGAGTTCTGATGGTTTATGAGTCTTCATTGTGGTTGAAGTATTTTATCTTTCCTTACACTGAAGAATTTGTTTGGTGACGTTCCATATTTTCTAAGAAACTGTCATAATATCTCAGGGGGATTTGGATGCATATGCAATGTCACGTTTGAGTCAACTTGCAGGTCTTCTCACAAAACCTCTAATAGTTATCTTGCACTAGTTTTTTCCATTCTCTATAGCAATCTATGTTTGATACTTGAAGTTAGGATTGCTGCCTCCATCTTATGAGGCAGATTCAAACTATACCAGATCTAAAACAGTAACAATTTACACCCTACATAATTTTATGTGGAGCTCATACTGTTTTGACTATAACATGGATTTTAGTATTTTAGTTCAATTGGAGGCCAATAGCTACCTCATGAACACAATGCATGAAGCTGGAGTTTAGTTTGACTCACTTATTTAGGGCCATATTTCATATGACTAAAGGTGTCAGACCCATCTGATACTGGGCACCCTGATATATATTGTGTTTCTAGTCCATCATTGGACTCAGAGAAATACAGATTTCACACAAAGTGGCTTAGTGTAGATTTAACTCTCTGAATAACATGTGGAATCTGATCCTAAATTGTAAGTTGCACATGTGATTGTTTTTGATTTATGTGCAAAAGATACAATAGTTTGGTACTTGGCGAGCTTCTTTCTATTATATGCTTGTTAAATGTGTAACTCTAAGGTTTTGCCTAAAAACAGTACTTACCCATTTTAGTACCCCTGCCCCCTGGGGAGTGTTAGGCTGGTCCAAGCAGGGTGGATTGGGTACAAATCTAGTCTCTGATATTAGTCAGGCAAACATGCTGCCCTTAGGTTTGAATCCACGACCTTACGATTGTTGGCGAATTTTTACCACTGAACCAGTGGGCAAAAAGAGATATATGCCTTCTTCTAGATGATCTAGAAGTGCCTTTTTTCTCTCAAAAAAAGACAAAAAGCCTAAACTGAATACTGGCTGGATGTACTCTTTATAGCCTTTTGAAGAAAGAAAGGCAGAAAAATGCATAACCATACTCTTAAGTTTTCTTTTGTTTGATTATAGAAATTTAGATGCTTTATATCAGAGTGACTGTCAATACTCAAAAAAGATCAATTCAGATTGCAGAACACATCCAGTTATTTGCATTAAAGTGTTTGTGATATTGGCAAAAGCATTTACATATGCCATTCAGAGTTTTGTTCCATAATTATTACACGAGGATGTTGGTATGTATCAGCCTTAATTTATGTCAAGTGTTGTGATATTATGGCAACAGAAGGCCTTGAAAGGCAAATAAAGGTAATTTAGTGTGACAGATTACCCGTGTCTCAATCCTGTGTTCGTCAAGATCACTCCATGTTAAATTTTTCTGCTTCTCTAGGGCAAATACATAAAGTTCACAGTATTTAAATATCAATTATCAACGTTCTTTGTTTATATCCGTCTTCTCACTTCTTGTGTTATGTGGCTATTTATGATTGTTGAGACCAGAGTACTTGTTGAACTTGCCATCCCATGCGAAAAACAGGGTCTACGAGTATTTGAGGGCTTCACAGTTGGTTTTCATCCACGGTCATGGGAAATTGTAAGAAACTACTACTATTTTTCACGGATAGTAAGAAGTTTGCATGTTTTACAATTATTTATGCCATGGAACTTGGTTTTATGAATTTGTAGGTTAACAATGGCATGACTCAACTGGGTTTTGAAAAGGTGTACAAAGAATTCAGGTTTGTATTGTTAGATCTTTTGCTTCATCATCCTCTTTTCAGTGCCTCATCATTTGCCACTAAGAAATTTAAATTTGTTGCCTGGAAAAGCCAGCATGCACGGATTTTCAAACCTTCGTGACAGATTATATTCTACTAATGAAGATAGCATACATGAAATTTATTGTTTCCATTGTGATGCTGGTTTATTCCTTTTTGAAAAGCTATAGTATCAGGTATTAACGATTGTCTACATATATATGTAAAAAATCTTTTATACACACACAATCTTATTTGAAAGCATATATCAGGCTGTGAATCTACTTTGTTAAACTGATCTGACCTTACCAAGATGAAGATGGGTTGGAATAATACAATGAAGATGACCATGGAATGCCTAGAAATGAGGAATTGGATTGAAAGGGGGCCGGGAATAAGTCTGAAAAGAAGTTGGACTGTCCTAATTTTGTTCAGAGGACATGTTCAAGGAAGTGCCCAAATAAAAAGTTTCGGAGGTAATGTATCATCTCCTATTCACCACTTTTGCTATGAAGTCGGCCCTGAACTGTGCAGTCGCTGATCATATTCAGGAGGATATTATTAGTGCCTGGAAAAGCAGTGGTGGTGCTTTAGAGGTTATATTTCGCGAAATTATTGTGTGCAATGAAACTCTGAATGTCCTATAATTAAGCATGGAGACGTTGTTGAAGAAATTTCAATTTGAAAGGGGGGGAAATAGAAACAACAGAAAGAGAAAATATGATGGTTGCTAAATGAGAAGGAAGCAAAAATAGGTTTCTGAATATGCATGAATTTTGATTTCCATGGGCTCCTTGTCAGGATTATTAGATTGAGTTGAACATTTATCTGATCTTTAAAATTGCCCCTAAACTTATGTGGAGATAGCTCCAATCCATCTGCATGTCAAATTAAGTCAAAGGGTTGTAGTAGGCTGGTTTAGGGCTTAGGCAACTAAAGGCAACCAGAGGGAGAGAGTGTGTTTGGTACTTAAATCATACTGTTGCCGTAAAAAGAAAGCAGTCATGCTACCTAGTTTTTCATACTTTTTAAGATTTATCTCGTCCCCCCCCCCCCACCCGAAAGTGTGCCTCAGGTTCTTTCATTTGATTGGACATTGACACTACAGCGTATAAGCATCAGTCTGTGTCATTGCTCTTGTTTGTATTTGGTCTCTGCTCTACGTCTTTACCTTCTTCCATATACTTGTTTAAATTGTTTCTTTTTATCATTTTATTAGATTGTAATATGTTACTGTTTACAAGTCCCTCAAACCTTCAATTTGAGGGTTTTCGTTTTTCCAGTTATTCCCTCAGCAACACTAGTGATTATTAAATATTTTCAATTCTCAGCTTCAAAACTGAACCGACTCATGTAGACCTTTATATGACTGCAATTGCTTCTCTTTCAAGTTTGGTTCAACAACCAATCATTAAGGTATTCAGATTTTCATATGCATAATTTGGCAGATGCTGCTATAATGAGATATATTGTGTATATATGTGTATACTGGTTATTTAGTCTTTTCTGATGGATTTGTATGAGATTATGGTGCTTCCTGTACATTTCAGATTTCGCCAGAACAAGGTTTGGAGGTCAGGTTGTCGGGTTCCGGAGCAACCGGGAGTCCACCAACAACTTTAACACCCACTATGTTGATGGTGGACTGGAGATGTATAACGACTTCTCTCCTTCCTTTTATCAGAAAAGATTTTTTGGGATGTGTGCATACCATTTGTTATGTTCTTTATATCTTCCACAAATTGTGATCTTCTGTACATCCACGTGGTATCTTTTAGGTGAGAAGGCTCGGGATATTCCTTATGAAGTTGAGATTACTGTCCCAGTAGAGGGTTATGACCCTATTCAATTTACTCTTACAAAGATGTGTGGTAAGCATCTGTATGGCTTTGATTCAAAGTAACTGGTGCCCCATGATACAGTCGAATGGCAAAAGATGAGAGACCGAGAGGAGAGAGAATAGACGGATCGAGTTTTAGAGTAGGCTGCAATGCTAGGTCATTGCCATGAAATGGATGGCTCTCTATTGAAGCTTGCTGTTTGATGTTTGGTTTATAAAGCATCCTAACTTCTGGTTGATGAGTCTTTATACATTGTCATTTTTGTTAAATAACAAATTTGATTAAAAAGATATGAGGAAAATGGATAACTGAAGGGACCATACTTGAGTTGAGGATATTTGTGATGGAAGAAACTAAACCGAGAGGAGTCGACAGGAGTTGACAAAGGAAATAACTATTTTATTTGGCGATGCTCTGGGCTTCTGATTACTCGTATGCTTTTCATTTGACAAGGAAACTCACCTATCAAGCAACTGTAGTTTTTCTAATATAATGAATTTTACAAGCAATTCTCTATTTATTATGCTGTTAAACTATTTATAACTACGTTATGAGCATCTTTTAGGAGTGTGATGTTGGCATGGAACTCTGATTACTTCCTCTGACCTAAATAACGGCTGAACTTTGATGGGGCATTAAATAATTTTAGTGAGGCATGAAACTGGTTGGTTTCTTGCTGATTTTCATTCTACACCATACCAATTAACCTATACATTTCTCGTATGCTGAATCTTTCTTGTCTGATTGATGCTCTTGCTTGCTAAATGGCTGGTTTGATTGAACCTGTCACATAACTCCAAATTTTTGCAGAATATAGGCAGGGTGAAGGGGGAAATGCTACAAGGGGATGGGCTACATTTGGAGTGCTTTCCTGCATGTAAGCAAATTTCAACTTCTTTTTTCAATCTGTCATGTCATGAATATCATATGTTTGAATATGCATGCATCTGCATCATATGCAGTGTTGGTTGGCATATGTTGCATACCGATGGTGTTATTGGCCAAACTACTTCTAGAATGTTCCTACAGGTGCTGTAAATGGATTAGTGATGCATATATTATGCTAGTTCAAGGCTGTACTTATGTTTCTATCTCTTCTTTCAAAGTTATAGATCCTTTTGGTTACTTAATTTCTTTGCCTAATGGCATATGAACAAACTGGGTGGAGCAGCTTCCTTGTTTTTTCAACACTCTTCTGTTGCGGAGGGTTTGTTTACAAGACACGAGTGGAAAACCAGGTAACTGATATCACTTATCATATCGACTTTTCTTTTTTAAGTTATTGTTTCTGGTGGATATGACTTTTCTTTTTCATGGTTTTTTATCTATGCCATGTTACGTGCAGCATGGGCTTGATGCATTGCCAGGCATGACAATATTATCAGCATGTTTGGAAACAGTAAGTAATATTTAAAGCACTTACTTTGGCAGTTTTGATATCTGGGGACTCCCAGACTTGGATGTCTCAAAGGCCAATCATAAATATCTCCAAGTAGCTTTTGTAATCATCCAGTATTCGATTAGAGATCACAAGCCTGTTCTGGCAGGCCAATTTGGCAGATTCCATTATACGTCTACGGAATAAAAACTAGTAAAACAGACTGCCCCGATGCAAATATTAAGATGCTCGACTCTATTAAATTTCATTATGAGAAAGGTGGAGTTTATTATACTCCAGTTAATTCATGGTGTTATGCATTGTTTGGCTCGTTTTACCCTGAACAGACTTAAGAATTTGTTTTACTTGAAATTGATAAAATACAGGTGAGTGGAGGAAGTCACAGCTATACCCTCCCAGGAGATGCTAACAACCCTTTTGTCAATCAAGCTTCATGGGAACGCAAGCCTGCTTCTAACCAAGGAACATGGGGAGCAAGTGAAACAAAATATGGGTCAATATGACCTGACACGCTTCGAGCTTCAATGGAACACCTGTCTTCTTCTGATCAAGGAACGGGGACAATAAGTGAAACAAAATATTGGTCGATATGACCTGAACTGCTTCTTAGAGCTTCAGCTCTTTATCTACTTTTACTCGGCGATTACAAATATATGCAAGAGAAATTCTCACAAATTCACCTGCGTAGGAAACATTTCTCTTCTTATTGTTTCCTCTTCATCTCAGAGCATGCAGATAGGCTGAGGCCTTAAAACTTGTTTTGTAAACTTATTTTCTCCCAGAAGATTCAAAAGCACTGGATTCATGTATCACACTTGATTGAATAGTAAAGATATTAAAGGAGTCTTTTGCTTGTTTGACACAATGTTAAAAAGAAAATTTTCCTTCTCTGTTGTGCACCATTTCTTCTCTCATGTACTCTGCTGTTCTTATCTCTTAAGGTACTACATTTTGCTTCAAACTCTTTCTGGTTAAGACTATTGGTATTTAGCTTTTATTATTATGAGCACTGAACTGTCTATAATGCTTGATATTGGTGGCCAATCCTCAACAAAAGGAAAAAGCAACGACTTGATTAGAGTGTAAAAGAAGCAAATATGGTTTCAAAAGCAAGAAATGTTTGTACAGAATTAAAAGACAAGACAAGCAAGCTCAAAATGATACGAAGGAATTGTTCAACCTCAAGGTCCGCAAAGGTATACATGAAAATGGGGAAATCCGCGTAAAAAATGCAAGCAAGGAAGACTTCCAACCACTTTTAAGGTTATCATGTTCTTACACCACGGGCCTAAAATAATGAATTAATTTGGTGATTTAATTTATTATAATAATTAGATTGACTGTGAGTCTCATCAAATATTAGAATTCAGTGTTAATTTAACAATTATAATAAAGTCACATCATTAGATCAAATTTTTACATCTCAATAACATTACTCTTTGTGAAATCAAATTTAATTTAAACAATGCAAGAAGTCATTTGGAAAAGTGAGGCGAAAAAGTTGGATAGGTATTTAGTCCATGTGCCTATCCCACCTAGTCCTGATCGGAAAAGATTGTTAAATTACGCAAGTGAAACGTTATGTTTAAACTATTGTTACGTATTTTAGAGTTATAAGTGACAATCTGAAATGAATAATAACAGATAAAATTTATGCAAGTCGTTACAGACAGTACAATTTTAAGTAGTTTATAATTAGTTTGGTAAAAAGACCAAAAACATAACACAANAGACAGTACAATTTTAAGTAGTTTATAATTAGTTTGGTAAAAAGACCAAAAACATAACACAACTATTCCACATGTGAAGCCTAAAGATCCTGTTTGACAAAGTAATGGAGCAGTTTCTCCTACCTGCCTCCTGCCATTCATTGGATTGATTATATGTTGGCATAATATTCGCATATCCTTGACAACCTAAGGTTAGCTTTCTCTGCTCCCCTAAAAGGACATAAACCGACAAACACAAATTATTACACTTATTGTTTGATAATTGAGTCGAGTTATTCGAGTTTAGTTAAGATAGAATTCGACTCAAGCTCGTCTCGTGTTTTAAACGAATCAAGATTGAATAATTTTTTAGACTTGTTTAAAATACGAGCTAAAAAGGCTCGGTTCGAGTTCACAAAATTCAATTCGTTTATATGTAAAATAATCGAATTACTTGGACTTTGTTAGGCTCAGACTCTATTCGGCTCATTTTTTAAACGAGCTGAATTTGAATAATTTTTTAAGTTCATTTAGAAAAATAAGTTTAACAGACTCGTCTCGAACACATAAAATTTAATTCGATTATCAACTCTAGTCAAAAGAATTGTTGTGGGAGTCAAATTATAGACCCAGCATTCACTTCGATCAACCTTAATCATCCGACAATTCTTGTCGTGTCACTGATTTGTACAAAAATTCACTCACTTAACTTGGAGTTGTATGCAAATTTGGAGTATCTAAATTCATCGTATTTTGTTATAGGATCTCAAGAATGCTAGGAAAATGGATCAAATTAAATCTAATTTATGAGAAGAAATTGGTTTAAATGAAAGTAGATGATTGATGTGATANATTGATTATATGTTGGCATAATATTCGCATATCCTTGACAACCTAAGGTTAGCTTTCTCTGCTCCCCTAAAAGGACATAAACCGACAAACACAAATTATTACACTTATTGTTTGATAATTGAGTCGAGTTATTCGGGTTTAGTTAGGATAGAATTCGACTCAAGCTCGTCTCGTGTTTTAAACGAACCAAGATTGAATAATTTTTTAGACTTATTTAAAATACGAGCTAAAAAGACTCGGTTCAAGTTCACAAAACTCAATTCGTTTATATGTAAAATAATCGAATTACTTGGACTTTGTTAGGCTCAGACTCTATTCGGCTCATTTTTTAAACGAGTTAAATTTGAATAACTTTTTAAATTCATTTAAAAAAATAAGTTTAACAGGCTCGTCTCGAACACATAAAATTTAATTCGATTATCAACTCTAGTCAAAAGAATTGTCGTGGGAGTCAAAGTATAGACCCAACATTCACTTCGATCAACCTTAATCATCCGACAATTCTTGTCGTGTCACTGATTTGTACAAAAATTCACTCACTTAACTTGGAGTTGTATGCAAATTTGGAGTATCTAAATTCATCGTATTTTGTTATAGGATTTCAAGAATGCTAGGAAAATGGATCAAAGTAATCTAATTTATGAGAAGAAATTGGTTTAAATGAAAGTAGATGATTGATGTGATAGAGGACCGGAGGTGGACAATGTCTATTATCTTTGTCTCTCGTGATACTACATTAGCGCTAGCTAGTTTCACGATTGATTTCCCGTCTAATCTCTCTCACTTTTTTGGATAGCTAGTGACAATAATGCAAGTTCCATATATTCATAAATAATTCACGCGGGGGAAAAGTAAACGAGAACTCAACACTTCTTACCGAAGTATGTATCAGATGATTTTCTGTTCATACTTTACAGCTGGCTAACATTATTATTATTATTATTATTATATAATAAGAGTGTTGATCAGCCTCTTCTAGCTGGGCATGGGACCATTTGAGTCAATAATTTTGAGGTCATTCATTTTTTGTCAATAGAGCAGGTGGTTCTACTCCCACTTTATGAGATTCCTCATTCCCTATCTCTCACGTACATGTTTTATCTTCTCCTCAGGACTTCACTCTAAAGCAAAAAAGACTATTATGGTTGACCCAACCAAATCACTAAAAGTTCCTACATACATTCTTCGTTTTTGCAGTTCATTGTGAACATGTTCAATAATTTTAATTTAAGGTATTAAATTAAATTTGGGTGTGTGTGTGTGANACATTCTTCGTTTTTGCAGTTCATTGTGAACATGTTCAATAATTTTAATTTAAGGTATTAAATTAAATTTGGGTGTGTGTGTGTGAGAGTTATAAGGACCAATTATACTTATGTTTTCAGGTAGAAGTGTTGTAGTATTCTCTGATTAAAATAAAAAAACAAAACTGCCATGTGTGCGTTTAAGGGTGAGTCCCATGTGGGTCCGGTTGCATCCCCCAGTGGCCCGACTATGAACGGGGAGGTCTTTAGGCCTAAGTGGTAATGGGTTGGGGCTATCTCACATCTGATAATCTTTGGGTGTGTGTTTGAGTTATAAAGGCTTATGACACTTCTACTTTTAATTAGAAATGTTGTAGTGTTCTCTAGTATAAAAAAAAAAATTAAGGTATTAGAGTTTATATATATATATATATATATATTTTTTGTTAGTTTAATCCTCATTATATTAATTTTGTCACTAAAATATTCAATTTGTGTCACTTTAATCTCTAATCAAACAATCCGTCAAATTTTTTGACGAAAATGACCACGTGTCATTTTTTTAGACACTATCACATGTTTAACACGTAATTATTCCGTTAAAAACATAACGATTCATCTATGTAAGGAACAAAATGGTATAGACTGAATATTTTAGTGACAAAATTAACAATAGAGAATAAATTGACAAAAAATATAAATTTTAAAGACTAAAAATATTATTAACCCTTTAATCATTTTTATTTTTACCCTGCTTCTTACTCTTACAAGTTTACTATAAGCTTTTTATGTTCGAATGAGGTTGCTTGTCAAGTGGATAACAAGGATAATATCTGTGGTGTTCCCGTCGTTATGAGATTGGAGGAGAATCAAATATATGCTGTCTTTTCCAATTAAAAGGATTGAACTCGGTTCAAGTGCTGCCAATGATTCCGTCAATTTCACCGACAGTATCGACGCCAGCAACTTTTTTGCTAAGTTGTCCATTTTACTTCTTGCTATTATTACAGACCATCGTTTGGAAAAATATCTTCATCGTAGAGGTAATTGCTGTCACTTTAATATTTAAAGTATATATTTTTTATATTTTTGATCCCTAATATATATATATATATTTATTTATTAATTTAGTCCTTTATATATTATTTTTATCAATTTAGTCTCAAATGTATTTAATTTGTGTCACTTTAGTTTCTAATCAAATAATTCGTCAAATTTTTTGATAAAAGTGACCACATTTGTCTTTGTTTTTAGACGATATCCCGTGCTCAACGCGTGATTATTCTGTTAAAAACTTAACGGTCTGTTACTTTCGGGACAAAATTGATATAATATAGACTAAACTGATAAAATATGTTTATTTTAGGAAATAAAAATATTATTAACCCTAGAGAGAAACGCAAAAAGGGATAACATGAAAAATACCAATACCTTATTTGTAATTTTTGAGTTTTTAGGGCTCAAAATAGTAATGTTGGATATTCAAATCTGCAATAGTAATGCTAATAACTCTGAGTCAAGCTGATTATTTTTTGGTGTCCATCAAGGGTACATTAAGTTATTCATGCCAACCAAAAGCTTGATTGATTGATTCTTAACATGGTGAAGAACTAACCCTAACAGAAGAGCCACCGACTCTCTCTCTCTCTATGAATTCTTCTGTATAAATACCCACAACCCATCTCAACTTTCATCATATCAAGCCTTCGTACATCAAGTTACTGCATAAGTAAGTCTCGAACTCATAATAGAAGTGTGTGTAACAGTGACAGCAAGAATGGCTCATTTCATAGGCATTTGCATGGTTGTCACTCTACTTTCTTTTGCTCCGCTTTGCCTCTCCGGCAAGAGCATTGGTGGTTACCTCTACCCACAGTTTTACGATTGCTCGTGCCCAAAGGCAAAAGAAATTGTCAAGTCTGTTGTTGCCAAGGCTGTAGCCAAAGAAGCTCGTATGGCTGCTTCATTGCTCAGGCTCCATTTTCATGACTGTTTTGTCCAGGTTTGTGAATTGTTTTTTTGTGCTTTTTTTTTTTAAGTATAGTCAATAGTGAGCACCTTATTGATTAATTACTTACTACAATGTACACAAACCATTTCTTGATGACGTGCCTTTAGTCTTAGAACAAGATTGCCAGGTCCTTTGGTTGATATGCCTCCAAGTGCATGTGTTTTATTGCAATATGAGTTGATTTATTGCAACATCATTTGAGGCTGTGCTTGAGATGTTTGGGCACTAAATCGACTGTTTATTACTTGTGTCGGGTTCAAATTGAGACAAATAACATGTATCTATAGGACCTTTTTCTCCCTCAACCAAAACCATCGTCCATAAATCCTCCATAAACTACAAATCCACTTGGTTGTTATGGTTGCAAAATCAGTAAAAAATTCATGGAATTCTATTTTGAACTTGTACAATTTCTATTAAAAAATAGATGAATCAGACATTTTCTTCTTACATACCTCCTAACGTATTTATCGTATATAAATTGGGTGACCACTCTATTATTCATTTTATGGGGTCATGTTATTTTCAAATTCTTGTCGATACCAATTAATTCTAACATAATAATTTCATTTCGTATTCACATCTTGTTAACATGTTGTGTCCAATTTGTCACTCTTGACACCCCTGTATATCTTAGTCTACTGATAACCTTATAGACTGAAAATCCAGCATAAGAACAGTGTCTGTGTGTTTGCACATATCAGGTTAAGTGCATAACTTGTAAGTCTTTGTTGTTGTTGTTGACTATGCAGGGGTGTGATGCATCAATACTTCTGGACAGCAGTGGGAGTATAACTAGTGAGAAGGGGTCGAACCCCAACCGGAACTCGATTCGTGGATTAGAAGTCATCGACGAGATCAAATCTGCACTGGAGAAGGAGTGCCCTCACACTGTCTCCTGTGCAGACATCTTGGCTTTAGCTGCTAGAGATTCTACAGTTCTTGTAAGTATCATAGATGAAATATTACTCTAATTACCTTGCTAAAATTCACAATCTGATACTGTTATATATTTCTTTGTACAGGCTGGTGGACCTAGCTGGGTGGTCCCACTAGGAAGGAGGGACTCTAGAGGTGCAAGCTTAAGTGGCTCAAACAACAACATTCCTGCTCCAAATAATACATTCCCGACCATCCTCACCAAATTTAAGCGTCAAGGGCTCAACATTGTGGATCTTGTGGCACTGTCTGGTAACCTTGATACCGATTTCTGCACTTGTAGAGTTGGCATATAATTAGAGGCGACAGTTTTTGACATGACACTGACGACACAAATCCGCTATAAAATGAACGGGTTAGCTTTGATATGAGACCCGCTATCACAAATAATAAATGACTCGATTTTGATACAACACATCCGTTTACCTGATATACTATCAAAATTATAAAAATTAGTGTCAAGTGATCTGATAAAACTAATTAAACACATTAGATTAAGATTGATTAGTATTCGACACTGGTCTAAAATACATGACATGACTTGATTAACACCTATATCCCCCATTTGAAATGAAATCCTCATTTGAATTGTTACCAAACTAACACACACATTCATCTTGCATATTCGAAGCCATGGCTAACATCTCTCCTGCAGGAAGCCACACAATCGGGAAGTCGCGATGCGTCAGCTTCCGGCAAAGGCTCTACAACCAGTCAGGCAACGGACAACCTGACTACACCTTAGACCAGTCGTACGCCGCCAAACTGCGCCCCAGGTGCCCACGATCCGGCGGTGATCAAAACCTGTTCTTCTTGGACTTCGTCAGCCCAACAAAGTTCGATAACATGTACTTCAAAAACCTATTAGCTTCAAAAGGCCTGTTAAATTCTGACCAAGTTCTGGTAACAAAGAGTGAAGCATCGATGGAGTTGGTGAAGCAATATGCAGAGAATAATGAGCTTTTCTTTGAGCAGTTTGCTAAGTCCATGATCAAGATGGGGAATATCTCTCCATTGACTGATCATAGGGGAGAGATTAGGAAATATTGCAGGAAGATCAACGCTTAAGACCCTGTTATTGAAGCACCAGAAGGAAAAATTGTATTAAGATGTTGTGCCATTTTCTAATTTCTTATTTGTTCTACCATTTCTGTTTATTTCTTTTTGTGCTTCTCTCAGCGGAAAGTCTATTTGTTGAGCTTGTTTCCATTGTTATGGACTTGTGGTTCTAATCTATAAAGCCTTTTGGTTTGTCTTAAAAGAACATGGACATTTTTCTATCACTATGATGTTTGTTTGTTAATAAACAAAGATCATATCAATCAAGTGCTTTTTTAATTGTTTGTCCAATTTGAATCTGGGATTTCGCATGTAGTCACTAGATTTTCGGGTGGCCAGTTGCAGCAATGATCGAGTTTTGGCCATTGTGATTGCACTGATGGTACTTAGAGTTGCACTTAAACCTAACTGACTTCTATATGCCACAACAATGGGCTTATTGAATTAGGAAAAAACTGCTCTAAGAGATATGTTTCTTAAAAACAATTAAGATTATATCATATCTGACAATGACATTGGATTTGTTAGTTGTATTATAACATCTGGTAAACTAAGATTGTATGCCTTGGATGGGGAAGTTTGTTTACCATGACCATGATGTCCAATCAAATTTCCACCGCTTTCATTTTTTTGATAAACCATCGTTCATTGATTGTGTATGGTTTATTGGTTTATATAAATGAGTATCTCTCAAGTTTTATCAGTATTATGCTAAATTACAATTTTATTTGAAAGCACAATAAAACATAGTATCTTGTAAGTTTTATGTGTAGAATAATAATTTGTTTGACTTATATGATGCTAGATTTTCCAGTTTGAATATTTAATTTAGTATTCAACCAATTTCTTTGCCAGACTACATTACCCTCGAATAGAAATGATAATTAAGGTAAGTTTTAGACCAAGTCTTTAGTCAATATAAGCATTTTGTGATTTTTTTTGAGTTATATAATACTTTCAGGCATATATATTATATAATAAATTTATAAAAGTACAACAACGGTATAAAATTTATTCAAAAAATATTTTTTTCACTCAAAAATATTATATTCTCTGCACAATATCATATAACTCGATCAACACACTCTTTAATGTCAAATAATTTTAGTATTTCACACATATTGACGCAAAAGCTTGTTTTTTAAACTTAGCCTAAAAAATTATTCAAGTTCGGCTTGCTTTAAATAAGCCAAGACTGAACGACCCCCTAATGAGTCGAGCTCAAATATTTACACATAAATGAATTGAGTCTGTTTAGCTCATTTTTCAAACGAGTCTAAAAAATTATCTAAGTTCAACTCATCGAACGAGCAAAAAACGACAGGCTCCACTCATTGAATTGAGCAGTGCAGTTTGATTAATAACCTTATCCATAGAAAAAGTAAAAGAAAACTCCCAAAAAATTACAATATTCAATTGATTAACTCCATAAAATCATAATATATAAGAAAAATTATAAGAATACCCTAACCCCTAAAAGTTTTTAAAACGGACTTAAATCTATACCTTTAGAAAAGTTACTAAAAATAAATAAACATATGTCTAATGAATTACAAAATTTGATATAGTTTAAACAACGAATCACTCTAGAATATTCTTAATTAAATTCTCATTTTAAATAAATAATAAAAATAAATAGAATAATTGTTCATTCTCATTCTACACCAATTATCTCCTTCTCATTTTCTTTCTAAGCACTTTAATTTTAAGATGCATTATTAAAGAAAATAAATAAATTATTATTTAAATATAAATATTACACAATAAATATTCAATTTTTGATGTTACAAAATGTTTTCACGGACGAGATTATAGCTAATTTATAAATTGAATCAACCAAGAAGTTACATAAGCTATAAACTTAAAATCTCTTAACGGAAAAATCCAACAAATCGAACTGATTGGTCAAAAATCAAACCCATCTACAAAAATCAAACTGACCCAACCCATAAAGGCGGATTTGGTATTTGGTTCAGTTGTTCGGATTATTCAATATGGTGTGTTCCGGATCCGGGTAGTGGTCTATAAAAAAAGTAAATTCCCTATATTCGGGGCTTAAACCCATCAAAGGGTTCCGACGCCACAGGGTTTACAACTTCCTTCACATTCATCGTTGCCACTTGCCACTGAAACTCATTCGATCTCTAAACTTTTTCAATAAAGAACCCACCAGCTAGTCGTCATAGCCCCTCTCAATCTCTCGATTCATCGCTATGCTTATTTAGTCTCTATAATCTCCAACAAAGTCCTTAGCATGAGGTACTTGCGTTTCATCTCTCATTCTCTCTCACGCCATTGCGCACCCATTGTCCAAAAATCTAATCACTTCCATTATCTACAGTTCATAAAATCAAATACTTCATCTCAGTCAAACCCTTCAACCCGAATCTTTAATTCATACAGATTTACAACTGGGTCATTAAATAGTTCAAATTTTGCTCGGAAATTCACTGCCACTGCCCAAGAATCAAAACATGTTCCGTCGGAGAGAGTATCAGCAATTGTGGACGAAATATCGGGTCTGACATTGCTAGAAGTTTCGGACTTGACGGAGGTCCTGAGGAAGAAACTGGGGATCGAAGAAATGCCGGTAATGGCGATGATGATGCCAGGTATGGGATTTGGAATGAAGGGCGGAGGAGTGGCGGCGAAGGGGGAGGAGAAGAAGGCAGAGAAGACGGCGTTTGATTTGAAACTTGAGGGAGGGTTTGATGCGGGATCGAAGATTAAGATTATTAAGGAAGTGAGGACATTTACGGCGTTGGGATTGAAGGAGGCCAAGGATTTGGTGGAGCAGGCGCCCACATTGTTGAAGAAGGGGATCACGAAGGAGGAGGCAGAGAAGATTATCGAGAAGATGAAGGAGGTTGGGGCTAAAGTGACAATGGAGTGAGGTAATTAAATCACTTCCTTTGCTGATTGAGCTTCTGTGCTATGTTGAATGAGATGAATTTCACTCTTAAGGCAGTCATTAACCTGTGTTTGGCAGCATGGGAACTAGGAATTAGGACAAAACTTGTTCCAGTTCCAAGACCTCAATTTTGTGCCAAAACTTAGTTGAGAAGTTGTCCAATTTGTTTGATTTGAAATTATCTAAAAACACATTCATTTTCCAATTTTTTTTGGTGATTATTTAGAATGTGATGAATTTGATACAAGTTATGCAAACGTTATTCTGCTGGTTATTAAAGTTAGCAGTTTTCACATTGTTTTATATGTATATAGATGGTCATTTATGGATGAGTCGGTTTAAGTTCTTTGCACACAAGTCACATACCCATTTCAATGTTGCTAAGGGTTTATCATTGGCAGATATATGCATAATTTCCTTAAAAGGACCAGGGCGTTATTCAGGTCTTACCTGTTGCTCTGCTTGTATATTTGCCTCATGATTGTTTTAATAATTTTGTTTATCTTTAAGTTTAATTTTGTGTTTGTTTGATGCGCTTGAGATAGTAGGTTGAACAGTTGAGTTTGATGCAAGGATTGCTGTCCTTTTTTTCTGGTAGTGCTGACATGAAAATTCATTTCTGGAGAGCTAACTATAAAAATCTTAACGCCTTCTCAGTGGTTGTGAGTTGACTCTGTGTCAAAGCGGTAAAAAGCATCAATGTAGGGTGACGTAAGCCAGAATATTGTCAAGAAAAAGCCTGCTTATTTGAGTGTTAATGGGCGTTATATAGAGGTGGAAGAGAAAGACCGAAGAAACTGATGGAAGTGGTGGTTTGTTAATTGGGTTCAAATGTGATGGCTCATTAGATATGCTGTTTGTGAGGGGAATGATAGAAATAGGGGGAAATGATATTTATGAAATATATGTAAACTGATAAAGCAGAAGCTCCAATGTCAGGATGTTAGTGGCCTGAATTCAGTTTTATATTTTAGTTCCATTGCATACCTAGCAGGAAAAAGTCTTGTTATTCAAAATTTCAAAGATTGGAGAGTAAAACATGAGGAAATTGTCTATGAAAACCATTGTGAAGTCGTTGAGTAGCTGATTTTAGCTTCAAACATGTGATGGTAGGTTCCCATTGAATTCCTTTTCTCATAAGACAACTGACTGACAGTACTTCCTAAGCCTATACTGAACTTGACTACATTCCTCTCCTGGACTTTCTATATTTCTGTTTCGGAGTTGACTTGACAATTGTGTTATTAGAGAAATCAATTTTTTTTTGCTTCTTGTTTGGGTGAGAAACATTTGAAGGGCATATTATTTTCGAGGTGCCTGTAATATCTGGCCTATTTTGTGGAAATTTATATTTCTCACATACTATAGCTGCAAGAAACTTCCGTTGATGTGTGGATAGCATGCATGCACTTGTGCATGGATGAGACCACAAATATATAACCCACCAAATATTATTTATAAACAAAAAAAAAAAGAAGGAAAAATGCAACACTGTGTTACGGCCATGAGTGGTACAGTTGTTACTGTCTTGAAGGGATGATTATAAAATCTTTTCTTGGTGATGTGATTTTTACTAGTTTGATCTCAAAATGTTTAGTTACTCAAGAAAATTCTTACTCATGTTAAGCAATGCCAGTTATCTAACACTCTTCGGTCCTTTAATGTATACAGAATCGGTCAAATGGAAGGACAACAAAGAACAAGAAGTGCGAAGCTTAAGGATGTGATTTGTTAAACAGGAGCATCAGTGGATAATGTTCACACTAAATTGTTTAGGCTGAGCAGATGAGGTTCACGTTGCGGGCTTTTTTTTTCTATCATGCAGAGAATTTCTGTTCGAGACTTCTTTTTTTATTTTTTTAATAACTTAGAATCAGCACCTTCAAGCTCAAGTAATGCTCTGTAACACCTCTACGGTAGAACTGATTTTTAAAAAATGAATGATATCTGGAAGGATTTGGCAAATCGATCATATACCTTTTGACCTATAAATGTAAGAATCTGATGTAAGGCTACTTGTGTGTTTTGTGATCACAAGCTTCTAGAATCTGGAACTTCTCGAGCAAGGATCGTGCTGGTTCCTTCAAATTCATTATAGTTCATCTATTTATTTTCAATTTGCTTCCTTTTACATTATATATATATATTTTTTTTTTCAAATATTTGTCCTTCTATAATGTTGTCCCTGTAACTAACGAGTGTATGATTTTTTTGATGCCTCTGAATCTCTGGGAGAATGCTTTTTCATACTTGTGGCAAGTTTGCCTTATTAGCTGTTAAGGATTGTATCTGTGAAGAAAAGGGTTATGAAGTGGCAAATGTTTTCTATGGTTTTCTGAAAAGCATTTATGCACTGTGTTGTACTTTGTACCCTGCCTGCAGAACTTATTGAAAAATTCATCTCATCAACCTCATCATGACAAAGTTTATTTATTTCTCAATCAAATTCATATTTAAAGCCCTATTAATTTAGTTTATAGCTATTGAGATCCCCCTCGATAATTTTTATTTTTCTCAATTTCAAACAAATGGGCGATGTATCGTAAATTAGTTGAGATCTATGATTTATTAGTGGTTTCTCTATTCGTGAACAATGAATGATCTGCAGTTAAATACAGATAAAAGAACTTATATTAAAATAATTTTGGAACTTGACTAATTTATACCTTATATTACTATAAAATGTTAACTAAAGTAAAAAAAAAAAATTGATTGATTATAATAACCGTAATAAAATAATTAATGTCGATATGGTCTTGCTCCATTTAAATGCTCAAATTACCAATGTTGTGAATTATCTAATAATAATCTATTAAGTACATCATTTTTTCGATTCTTGATTTAAGTTTTAGTGCCACTCTATTTGACTTAACTATTACACCAAATTGAATATATGTGAGAACTATTCAATGTGCACGCAATGTATCTATTGTCAGTTAAAACTTTGATTCTTTCATTTTTCTGTTTGATACATAATAGAGAAGCCAATTTACTGTCATAGCCTGCCTTCTGAAAAGATCTAGAGAACCCTAGAGTTGGGGGTTTCTTATCTTTTGGTCTTTTTGGAACAACATTTTAGAGAATACTACGTAGACAACGAGAAGTCCAAAACATTTTAGAGTATTATTGTATATTTAGATGTAAGACACTTGGATAAATCTTAGTCATTCTTATAAATCGTATTTTGACGTACTAATAGGTACCAGAGCGGATCGCTATGATCGTTAATGTCAGAGGCTGATAAATGGGGGTGAGTCTCATTTGCACCACCAAGCTAAGAAGCATCCAAGAGACAAACAATCAAATCTTGAGTTGTATCCTTTTTTTTTAGCAATATACTTGTTCGGTTCTCTCAAGCTCTTTGGCTCCTTTTATCTTTTCTAACAACTCAAACTCTCTTGCTCCTTTGGTCTTCTCTAACAACTTGTAATGAAATATTACCTCGTTCTACTACAGGTAATATATTTATTTTTCATTAAAATACCGTGTTAACTTAATTGTTTGTTGAACGAGATAACATGCAATTGTGTGATTCATATGATATAATCATTTTCTAATATACTCTAAGAATATAGGGCAACATGGCATAGAGTAAGTTAACTGCATATCCAATTAATAGTGAAAGAAAAGACATTCTTTTTGGTAAACATGTTCTAGTTGTGATGTTTGGACAAAGTCAATTACTCACGAAGAAATCCTTGGCTCCCATGACCAGAGAAATACACGATGATTCTGTTATTAGGTTTGTTGTCCACTACTTTTCCACTATCACTTTTCATAGCACTCCTTTCACCGAGTAGCACATTAAAAATGTTTTCAGCCTCACCAAATTATTAAAATTAGTAATGTTGATCAATAGCAACAATGAGGTAACCGTTCAAATGCATCAATGATATAAACAACTCATCGCAGAACTCCTTTCACATATAAATTAGTAATGTCACAAATCCAATGACGACAATGTACCTTAGGCACCCAGCATATATATCACTACCATTTGGATGATTTATAAGGATGTCAGGTCTCAGATTAAACTCATTGCTTTATATGCCCTGCAGAGCCTTCAAGCGATTTCATGTCATCCACTACATCGTCTAGCTCGGGAAATGGCGTTGAATCACATAGAATGGGACGGATGATTGTACCACGCCATTGTCAAGGTTAGCTTGGGATGGTATAGAAATGCCACAAGTTACTTCAAATCCATTTGTTGTCGGTGATCAATGTCTCCGATTCATTAAGTTCTTAAATCAACTATGGCTAGTCAAAGTTGAAACACGGTTGTTAAGCTAACCAAACATATAACATTCCAAGATAAGTGTCAAAAAGAAGTGGAAAAATATTAAAAATAAACAAGAGGAAAAAAAATAAAAATAAACCAACCGGTTATTATAATGGTCGGATTGAGAATTAATCCTCGGACCCGAAAGATGATTCGAATGAGTTAGTATAATTTTTCGAAACAGTTGTATTTAATATCTCTGATAATAATAATTAAAATTCAAACGATCTTGACTTGTGATTATAACATAAACTCCTTTGCAGCATAACTTTATTTGGTTTTGGAGCTGACTATTTGTGGTGGCTATCCAAGTTTGAGCACAGCCAGATTCCGAAATTGGGTCATAAAAACTTTAAAAAAGGAAAATTATACTTAGATCACTTGAGATTTGTCATCTAATTATTCAGATCTCCTGAAATTTGAAATATTACATACAGACCTCTAAAATTTATACGCTCGTAACACTTAGACTCCTATTTTAAATATATTCATTAATAAATTATATTTAGACTCCCTTGAAGTTTATATGTATATAATACTTAGACCCTTTAAGTTTAAAATGTTATAATTATACCAAAAATACTTCAATCAAAGATAAAATATCAAATAGTTTAAATTTTACGATTAAAATTCATGTTCTATTTATCTTTTATTGAAATAAAATCAAAAATAAAAATTTATTTTTTTCTTAAAAAATCATAATTAGTATACAATTATATTATCTATTGGAATTTAACTGGGCCGTTTAAACGACCAAATCAAAATACCAAACTATCCCAATTAAAGCTAAAAGATATTATGCCCATTACAATTTGACCCCTTTTTTAATTTTTTAGTTTTATTCTAATAAATAATATAATTATAAGGAAAATTGGAAGGATGTACATCCAATTAGACATAATTGTTAAAAAAGTAGATAGAAAAAAATGTTGGGTAATTAAGTCCTTAATTTTGATACTTATTTGGATCTAAGTACATTATTTGAATTTTATTGATTTTTTTGTAACATTTTTGCCCTCCATTAATTTATGTGTATTTAATGCACCGCTTTTTTTTGGAAAGTGATGCATTAAACATCTTTTAATTTTATGGAAGAACTTAATACATATATATAAATATGTATTTATGTATATATAAAAACGTATATATATACGTGTATATATATTTGTTTGAATTTCAAAATTTGTATTCATGTATATATAAAACCGTATATGTATATAAATTATATTTTAATGTACATTGATTCGTGCGTTATAAATGTACACTTACATAAATAATTATGTATGTATATATATTTATATATATGATTCATGCGTACACTTATATAAATACTTATGTATGTATGTATGTATGTATATATATATATATATATATATAGTTGTTGTTAAATCTCTTATTTAAGTTTTGAATTATATTTTAATGCACCTTAATTCATACAATTTTTTTTTTTGGAAAGTGGTTTTATTTTTAAACTAATTTAATATCCAAATAGTGTAACAATAACAGTGTAACAATAAAAGTGTAACAGTATAACACTAATAGTATAACAATAATAGTGTAACAAATTATTTACACAAAATATTATACTATTACATTTTGTCAAACATATAATTTCATAATATTTCATTCAAAATAATACATATCCATTTTGAATTTGTTACCAAATACACAAAACTACTGAACACTATTTTTATTACAGTGTATTTGTTACACTATTACATTATTTGAATATTAAATTAATTTAAAAATAAAAAAAAAATTCAAAAAAAAAACGCTTGAATCAAGGTGCATTAAATATAATTTGAAAATAAAATCACTTTCTAAAAAAAAAACACATAAATCAAGGTGCATTAAAGATAATTCAAAATTTAGATAAAATATTTAACAATAAGTGTATATATATACGAATTTATATGTATATAAATACATAATTTATATTACGTATGTATATGTATATGTATTTATATACATATTTCCAAAAAAAAAAACACATAAATCAAGGTGCATTAAAGATAATTCAAAATTTAGATAAAATATTGAACAACAAGTGTATATATATACGAATTTATATGTATATAAATACGTAATTTATATTACGTATGTATATGTATATGCATTTATATACATATAAATTCGTATATATATATTAACAAATACACATGAATCAAGGTGCATTAAATACGTATTTATATGTATTAACTAATATACATGAATCAAGGAGTATTAAAGATAAGAAATTTTTAATTAAATGACCCTAAAATGGGCATTTATGTCTTTGTAACTTAGTTGTGTACTTTTTTTCAAAATATTTTGTTCTATGTGCTTTTTGTCAAATAAGTCTAATTATGTGTATCGGCTTCAAAAGAACCCATAATTATATACTAATTATGATTTTTTTTTAAAATAAATTTTTATTTTTGATTTTATTTCAATAAATTATATAATATAATATGAATTTTGGATGAAAAATTTATGTTCTATTATGAATGACTTAGACCCCTTATTTGATTTTTTTTGTTTTATTTCAATAGATAGTATAATTGTATATTAATTACAGTTTTTTAAGAAAAATTAATTTTTTATTTTTTATTTTATTTCCATAAATGATATGTAAAATTTAAAATATTTGATATTCTATCTTGGATTAAAATATTTTTGGTTTAAGTATGATATTTTAAACTTAAGAGATCTAAGTATTATATACCTACAAATTTCAAGAGAGTCTAAGTGTAATTTATTAATGAATATATTTATAACATGGGTTTAAGTGTTGCGCGTGTATAAACTTTAGGGGTCTGTGTATAATTTTTTAAATATTAGGGGTCTAAATAATTAAGTGACAAACCTAAGAGGGGTCTGGATGTAATTTTCTCAAACTTAAAAGGCAAAATTTCAGTTACATCCTTGCTAGTTTACTATTTTTTTTAGGATATTTTCTCTATTATTAAAAATATCATTGACACCCTTTATAGGTTATATTTAAACATTACTGACACTACCACCCCTGTCATTAAACCACAATTTATAACAAAAATAAATTATTTATAAAAATAAATTGTCTAAAATATCAAAATTACCCCTACTAAACCCCAAATAATCTTTTTACATAAAATTTGATTGAAATTAGAGCTGATTAAAATTTAGTTTTTTATATATTAAAATTTGAGCATATTAAAATTCTTTTTTCTACATATTAAAACTCGATTTGAGCTAATTAATTTTTTTTATGTATTAAAATTTGAGCATATTAAAAGTCTTTTTTTACCTATTAAAATTCAAGATGATTTGAATTTTACTTGAGTTGTTATCTCGATTAAAATTCGATTTGAGTCGATTAAAATTTATATTTTTTAATTTATTAAAATTTAATTCAAGTTGATTAAAATTTATTTTTATGTATTAAAATTTGGGTCGATTAAAATTTAATGAGAATTGATTAAAATTTGATTTGAGCATCAAATAGAATTTTAATTGTCTCAAATTTTAATACGTAAAAATTATAATTTTTAATATAATCAAATTTTAATAAATAAAAAATAAATTTTAATTAGTTCAAATCAAATTTTAATCAGTTTGAGTTTTAATACATAAAAAAATTTAGAAAATAGAAAGGATCTCATTGAAGATATGTATATCTAGAGAACATGTGAATGATTTTTTTTTAAATATATCATGGATAATTTAGTAAAATTATTTTTTAATTAATACATTTAATTTGATAGGAGGTGTCGTTGAAGATTCAAAAAATAAAGAGGATATCCTTAAAGATATCATAAACTAGAAGGGCAGTGGCAGAAATTTTCCCAAACCTAAATTACCCTATGCAAATGACGTCGTTTAAACTTGAATAACCTAGCGGTTGTCACCTTCGGTCTCCTCTGAAAACCTTGATGGACAAGGGAAGAAGAAAGCCACGAACGTCGGAACATATTAAATAATGTCGGCGTTTGGGTCGGTGGACTGGCAGTGGCAGAACGCCACCGCCGGCGCTCTCGCCGGACTCGCCACCGTCACTTTCTCTCACCCCCTCGACGTCGTTCGCACCAGGTTCCAAGGTCTCTCTCTTCCATCCTCTCTATATACAAATGTATGTCAAATGTTTATATGTATTTTGATATGATTGATTGGATTGTTATAAGTTAACGACGGGCGAATCTCCAATCTTCCGACCTACAAGAACACTCCTCACGCTCTCTTCACCATTGCTCGAACCGAGGTTTGTTTTTTAGGCCTGGTAAAAATTATTATTTTTTGAACTGTTTTCGATTTTTGCATTGCGAGCTCTATTGCAAGCTAGGTATTTCATGTGATAGCCTGAAGCATAAGATTGGAAACAAAATGTTTTCTGGGGACTATAATGAGGAAATTTTAAATATTCATCGATAATGACTCTTCCACAAGCAATCTTACCGCTGAATTGGAAAATGTAAATACATGAAACTGGAACTACAATACTGAAAGGGAGTACCTCGAATCTTCTACCAACCAAACACTTGTATCTTGTCAGTTATAAGATTGCAATTGCTATGCTTGTCTATTTTTATATTTCTTCTTATAAAGAGCAACTTATTTGAAAATTAGGTGAAAGTTTTTTCCCTGGATTGCTAAATTTTGTTTATTTGAATGAAGGACCGAAATGTTTAAGAACTTATGGTATTATGTTTTCTCGTAGTTGTGGGGTAGAGATTTTCAAGTGTAGCAATGGATAGAGATTTTGAAGTGATTGGCGATGTAGTCCGCCGAAAATTGAAGCGGGGTGTGACTCTAGTGCTAAACTGACTTTCATATAACTTGCTCTACAAATAGATTTTTTAGCTATTAATTATTAGAACTTCAACTTGGTGGAATTTTTGAAATTAGAATGGACATTTATGGTCCTTTATCTGAAAACATGTATGCGAAATCCCAATTCTACATAAAAAAAAATTTATTTTTTATCCTAACCAAATAACAAATGGATCCCTCGGGTTCTAGTACTATTTGAGTTACTCTAATTTTCCTAATTCTGGAAACAACTCGTTAGTATTTTCTGAATAAGACGTTGGATTTTAATTATCTTTACATTTATGTTTTATCCTACACCTAGTCTTCTTTGGACACTTTCCTTGTATTCCACACTGTCCCTTTTGTCCGTACTGGTTTTTCTTTCCATAGTAATAGATGTTATTTATGCTAGTAAGTCTTGGATTCCAACTTGTTGCATTACCAGATTATTTTTTAGGCCCCAAATATGTAAATTTATGGATGAAAATTCTCTTTCTAAAGCATTTATCTGTTGTCATACATGGAACTATGTCAAATTTAGATAGGGTAGTGGTTGTTTCCTTTAAAAGTGGTGGCGTATAAGTTAATTTTTATTGTTTAGTTCATGTTCATAGATTTTCTTCTTTGTTGAACAATTTCAAGGGGTAAATATATCTGCAATTTTTTGCTTCAGGGTTTTAGAGGGCTTTATGCAGGATTTTATCCGGCTGTTCTCGGGTCAACTATTTCATGGGGTTTGTATTTCTTCTTGTAAGTTCCAATTTCAGGTTTGTGTCTTTTTGAACTGCTGGAAGCTTCTTTTATTGGACTCTCCCATTTTCAGGCATATTCTTAAAAGTACATCTCTCAAGTCTAGTTGAGAATAGTCGGTGGTTATATTGTCCGATAATGAAATCTAACATCGAGTAGCATTAGCTCAAAAAATTAAATGAGCAGCTCATTATTTATATTTCTTGTTAATGGGGAGATATTAGAGAGATTGGGGATACTTCTTGGTTTGCTTGTTAGAGTACTTATGCTCATTCTTTCCTTGAATGTTATTGAAGGAAAGGCAATGACTGTTCGTTTGATTGAAATATTTATTTGTTCCCTTGATAGATGAGCTTGTATTGTTTTACAGCTATAGCAAAGCCAAACAGAGGTATTTAAGAAACAGGGAGGAGCTGAGCCCAGGTCTTCACCTTGCTTCTGCTGCAGAAGCGGGAGCTTTGGTTAGTATTTGAAGTTGAACTATTGACTACTTGAGGAAGAACAAGATGAGGTCCATCCTATTAGCTAATCTATTAAAAAGGTCATTACCTAATTTGGTCCTGAACAGCAAGTCTTTGGTACTATCCGCACAAAGTCACAGACTCATATTTGAAATCCTTAATCTCATAGTTTTCAGTCCGAACCTTTTACCACTCTAACAGGCAATAACCCCTAGTATATGATCCATAATAGACCTAAAAAAGAGAAGATTGTCATATCAGTACTGCATGGTCATGCCTATTGAATTAAATGAATAAATAAATTTATCATGCGCGGCTGGCCCTAACAATTATCCACATTTTATGAAGTCTTGGGCTTCTTATGAAAAAGATATTAGGTGATAACTAAAGCTTCAAAATAATGAGGCTATTGACTTGTGTCACCATTGGTACAATTGGAGGAGTGTTGTGCCAAGATGCTTGCACTTTTTTAAAGTTTTTTACTTGTTCTTGAGATGCTTTGAATCTGAGGCCTTGGGTTGATATTTATATATTGCTTGCTTGGACTTTTAAGATATTCCATTCGTCCAGTCCATCCCTCCCAGCACCCTTGATACATGGGACCAAACTGTATCTACTTACAAAAGTAACCTTGTGGCCATTTCAGGTATGTTTCTGCACCAATCCTATCTGGCTTGTGAAAACAAGATTGCAACTTCAGACTCCTCAGCATCAAACTCGACCGTATTCTGGGCTTTATGGTCCGCTTTGTATCTTATATTAATGTGTTAATATTGTGCTCTCTGAGATTTCCTTTTCGTTTTTTTCCTTGTTAGTCATATCAATTTTGTCTTCCAATATTAGCAATTTATGCAAGCTTTAGTATGTGATACTGGTTCTCAGTTTTGGTATAGATTATCCAATTCCTTCAATGAATGGATTATGTAGTAATCCCAAAGTCTGAAGAGATTGCAACTTTTTGTTTTGTAGAATTAACTGTTGATCAGGGATATTCAGAGCTTTAACACCATATAGTACTTTCATTTGATATTAGTTCCAGAAGTCTTGTTCACCAGGTTGATGTGTTATTTGTAGATCGCTTGTGTTAGTTTTCTGCTTTTGTTTCTATGCTAATTCCTGTCATTGAAAGGAATAAAAGATAATAGACTTAGTCATTCAAACTGAAGGATTTCAACTCCTTTTTATGTTGGCAGAAGTATTGTGTTTGCGCATTCTTGTCTATATTTAAATATGTGTGCATATGTTCTTTCTTCTTGTTTGTTGTGGCTGATTTGTCAATTTTTCGCATTCGTCTATCAGATGCTTTAAGAACCATACTGAAAGAAGAAGGATGGAGGGCACTGTACAAAGGGCTTGTGCCTGGTCTTTTTCTGGTTACAATCTTTTTTCTTCCAGCTATTTTTTCCCTTCCTTTTATTCACTTAGATATCTTTTATTGTCCTTGTAGTTTCCTGTTATTGATGAGCTCATTGATATCTCTTGGGTTTTGTCAATATTAAATGCATTGTTCTACATTGATTGTTTTACCATAATTTATTTTCTGCTTTTTTTTATATTATAAACATGTCTGCGAACTGGTTAAAGTTTCTTACCTGTCATTTTTGGTATAAAACAAATGGTCATATGATGTAAGATTTGTTCTCCCTCGCACACATGCTTAAACACACAATCCTTGCGTATATCCTTTATATTCATACAGCTTACTAGTTTTTGTTGTTGTTTCAGCAGGTTACTCATGGTGCTATTCAGTTCACGGCATATGAGGAACTTCGTAAAGTTTTCATTGACTTTAAGTCTGAAGAGAATGAAAAAAAATCTGGCAAGGGGGATAATTTGTTGGTGAGTTCCTAAAACTGATGCTTCACCGAATTTTAATTCCTTGCTTTGTGAAATCAGTTGATGCACTATTTTTTTTTCTCAGTGAACTAATCCACCTTTGGGATACTGCAGTGTTAACATGTCGTTTCTTCCACAGGATTCAATTGATTATGCCACAATGGGGGCTTCTTCTAAACTGGCTGCAATCCTGATGACTTACCCATTTCAGGTAGGCAGTAGCAGCAAATCCGTGTCTATTGTTTTATAATCTCGTGACTGATAATTCCTTTTATGTGGCTGGGTTTCATTTTCAGGTTGTTCGAGCTCGATTGCAGGTATGGGACTTTGTCCGACTTTTTTAATACTCATTTCTCCAGATATGTAGTTTTGATAATGTAGATTCTGCAGAGCTTTTACAATCTTGTTGTTGGCAATGGCTAAGATGTGTATCCTTTTCCTGTAGCAACGACCAAGTGCAGGTGGAATTCCGAGGTATATGGATAGCTGGCATGTTGTGAAGGAAACTGTGCGGTAAGAAAGAATCTCAGCCTAATACTCTAATTTACAATTATTTTGAATTTGTCTAAGGAAAGGGAACATCTTGCTTTTTCTCAGTTGCTAGGTCAGCTTGATAACTTGCTGATGTCGTTTCTCTATTGGAATCACTGCCCATGAATTTTAAGTTCTGTCTATATTTGTGTAGCATATTTTTTTACTGCTGAAATTTCTTGACGGAACTTTTTTAAAGGAATTGGCACTTTTTTTTTTAAGTGGGGTGGGATTTGATTAATCTGCTGTAAACTTGTAATTGCTAAACGAGACCAAGAAATTATTAATCTCATGTTCTTTGCGGTACAAAGATTGGCACATTATTACAGACAAAATGTTGATTTTACCATTGTTTTGAGAGTCGAGAATCAATACTCTTTTAAACCTAGTTAATTTTCTTCTTTTTTCACAGGTTTGAGGGTTTACGTGGTTTTTACAAGGGTATCACAGCAAACCTGCTGAAAAATGTCCCTGCTGCTTCGGTAACATTTATCGTGTATGAGAATGTTCTTAACATGCTAAAATTTGCAAGAAGGAATGATTGAGATTTTTTATTTTGTCCTATCCACTCATTCTTTTTGTAGCAGTTACCATTTATATTAAATGGTACACATATTCATCGCATTTCTGAATCATGTAAACCACATCCTTTCATCAATATATATTTGTTTAGCACTTAGAAGGAATGGCTGCAGTTATGTATCGAAAAAAGAATGGCTGCAGTGGTATCTTTATTGCTTGTAGGATGCAACTCACTGATGGAAAATACTTGTGCATCAACAGCTTGCAACTTAAAGGTTTTGATGGTGAAATTCAGAAATTTCTGACCCTTTGAATAGCAGATAAAGATTAGTTATTTATTTTTCTGGTATGGAAACTGTGTAGTATGTTTTTTACTTTAGCAGTCTTCACTCTTCATAGGTTGGATTGTGATGACAAGCGTTCATCTGCTTAAGCAGTATGTCATGTGTTTGAGTTTGAGAATCAGCCTCTTCTAATTGGGGTAAAGTTGTTCAGCACTTATCGTTTTCAAAATCCACTATATGCTGCTTGCCTTTTGCACTAGGTACGATTTCTTTTAGTGCATTTTATGGTTTACCAATCTGTTCAGTCATGTTTTAATGTCCAAATTGATTTACCAGGGTCTCTATGCTCTTTTGCATCCAACCACATCGACACTTCAGAACATTTGAAATAGAAATTTTTGATACGAATTGTGCCTGTTTTATCGCATCATTTACATAGAGGGCAACATAAAACAAGAAGTTCATGCTAACAAGAAAAATATCGAACATAGATCTAGTTTTCAGAAAATTTATGGAGGAAGGATAGAATTTCGTTCGAAACTTCTTGAGATCTCTCTTGTTGGATGAAATGGTGGCCTTTCAGAATGATTACTTCATGGTTGGGGACTAGGCTCTTGAACATATTTCCCTCTATGTATTCCTTTGTACCGCCACAGTCGAATCCAATATCCTTATCACCGATAATTAGCTTTGCCGGAACTGTTATTTTTGACCCTTGCCAAGGTGCAAGAAGCTCCCAATTGCTGTCAATCAGTTCCAAAGAAAACAAAATGAGACAAGTCCAGCCATAACATGCACTATCTCAAAAGAGATACAGATGACCCCTAGGTCATCGAAGCACAAGCTGTTCTTAGGTTCAATTATGGTTCAGTCGCGAAATCGGTGCATAATTGGTGGTTGATTTGGAGGGGGGGGGGGCACTGAGATAAGTCGGTTGTAATATTGTAGAACAGTATCAAATAGATTAAGGCTATAAAACAACATCAGTAAAGTATATTAAGGCTATATACTATGATTTGATGATGATGGTTCTAGTGACTCGCCTGAATTGCTCAAGACAAATCCGAGTCGAGTGAGACTTGAGGCTTACAAAGTACATTAGAAAATATACATTAGTATCGGAGTGGAAAGTGTTACTCTAAATATGAATCGACACTTTGAACCATGGAACTGATATCATCCATCAAAGGTTTTATAAGAACTCCCAAAAAAATTTATCCAAGTCCTGATTACGAGTAAGACACAAAATCAGGGGAGCCAAAACAGTGGTAAAACTGAAAAGAAGGGTGATGTTGAACTTACAGGTCCATAGCACGGTAGTAATTGAGAGGTCCAGTAAATCCAGACTCCTGAAACTTGTCTGCATAGACTTGGAGTTCTTCTTCTGTGATCCATGGTGGTAAAAATGAAGGGGTCTCCAGAAAATCAATGATCTCCATGCCCGGTGGAGCTATCAGCTGGTCAGTCTTGTTGATCAGAAGAAACTTTTTCATTACCGTCAGATAATCGTACCTTGCAAATGCCATCTCTGCTCTACCTGGTTCCTACATAACATAACCCACCATACCAGGATCACACACACAGGAGAGAGAGAGAGAGAGAGAGAGAGTACCTGGAACTGGGAGATGTAATGCCCATCTCCAAACATTTGGTTGAAGGAATCGATAAGTTTTATATTTGGAGATCTGGGTGAAAATGGAACAGAGAGACAAACCACTCCCTTAACTCTATCAGGCCTGAACAAGCTGAGATGCCAAGCAGCCACTGCACCCCAGTCACTCCCCACTACAAAGGCCTTGCCAAATATTCCATTTAAAAGTAAGATTAACAAACTCGAAAATCAGGTGGAAACCCAAACAAATGAATGATTTACCAAATATGTTCAAAACATTTCCATTCTCGAACAATCAGAACTATGCACCAAAACGTAATTTTAATCATCGTGCACACACAACATAGATATATGTATATGGGGAGGGAAAGAGAAGACCTGATCTTCACCAAAGTGATCAAGAAGGCCGATGAGGTCGCCGACGATGTGGAAGACAGTATAGGAAGAGGGACTGAGTGGGGAGTCACTGTCACCATAGCCTCTGAGGTCAGGGGCAACTACGTGGTAACCATGGTTGACTAGGTGGGTAATCTGATGGCGCCATGAATACCAGATTTCAGGGAAGCCATGAAGAAGAAGAACAAGTGGTCCTGTACCTTTCTCCGCTATGTGCATCCATATACCATTGGTTTTGACCCTCTGGTGATTCACATCGGGCATCATCATCATCATCATCCCTCACCTTTCTCAATCTCAAAATCTTTCTTCTGTGCGTTCTTAATTCTTTTTTCCTTTATGTGAGAGAGGGAGTCAAAGCCGGCTGTGTGGAGTATATGTGGTATGCACTATGTTCATTGTTATAATGTTTGGTTAATTGTACCAAAGTATGGGATTTATCTCTTTTTAAGTCTCAATATTTTAATTGTATTATTTTTATCTTTGAAATATTAAATGTCTATAAAATAAAATAGTTCATAAATTGAATTTTATCCCTTATACATTTTTCCCTCCAAAAAATCAAATCACTTATTTCTATTACATGCCTAATTTTTATAGTTTAATATAATTTTTATTTCAAATATTATCTACACATGATAGTATACATTTGTCGAATTATGTATTTTGAAAAAAAAATTTATCAGATTACGTATTTTGAAAAAAAATTGACAATATTTTTAAACAAATAATGAATAAATATAGATTTTAAATATAATTAAAGAAAAAAAAGAAAAAAAAATTATTATTTAATATAGTGGAATAGATTTTTTGGACACTCGAATTTTATGTTTTATAGTGCCTTCAGACACAAATTATCACTAGTGTTTCTATATGACCTTTCAAGCGGACAACATTCAAATTGCTAGCAATTTTTTATCATAAGCTTATTACATAATACTTAAATATGAGTAAAAAATAATTTGGCAACTCTTAACCAAAATTTGGATAGCTTTTGACAAAAAATGTGCAATACGGATGGCTTTCGACAAAATTTGGATAACTCATGATCAAAACTGTATAATTTGGATAATTTTTTGGTCAAAAATTGGTCAAAAATTATCCAAATTATTTTTTTGTCCATATTTAGATATTATGTGACAAATTTATGATAAAAAAATTATTAGTAATTTATATGTTGTCTACTTGAGGGACCATATAAAAATTTACTTTATGGGCTAAAATAATACAAATAAAATATTAAGGGCTAAAATAAGATAAATCTCATATTTTGAGGACTTATAGTGTAATTAACCCTATAATGTTTGATTTATCTACAAAATGGTGAACGTGGTGAATGGTCGTGAAGCCAAAGTCACAAGTAGCTTTTGACTTTAAACATTCACATGATTTGTTGAAAAAAAAAAAACTGCTTTGAAATACCATCTCTGCTTCCTTTCCTCCTCGCATCCAAATCCAAACGAGAAATGGAAAACTTTAGGCTTTGTTTGGTTTGAATTTTAGAAAGTATTTTTTATTTTTGAAAATAGTTTTAGAAGAAAAGTTGTCTCATTAGTTGTTTTTAGTTTTTATTTTTTGAAAACTTTGAATAAAAACTTAGTAAATTTAGAGAATAAAATAGAGTTATTTTGTGTATTTTCTGCAACAACCTTTACAGAATTTAGAAAACATCACCACCACCACCACACTTCCATCACCACCACTACTACCACCACCACCACATCATTTTTGATTTTATTATTTTTTAGGTTATTATTGTTCAAATAAGTTTTAATGTTTTTGATTTCGTAAAACTATTTTTAAAATCATATAATCAACACAAAACACTAATAACAATTTTTAAAAATTATGGTCAAAATTTTTTTTCGAATGCTATATTTTAAGACTTAAACTAAAGAGGCCCAACTTTCCCTTTTTCTTTCTTTTCCCTCTTTCCCAATCAATCCAAGCAAAATTTAGAGGAAAAGTTGGGAAGTATAAAAAAAAATGTTCTCCATCCATCCCCAGGCAGGCCCCAAAAATGTCCTTAATTAGAACTTTAACACATTGGCTCATATATCTCCCAATTCCCTATTATGCAGATGATGCATCAACAATATGTAAACTGTCTTTCCTAGAAAATATTCCACTAGCGATCCACAATCTACTATATTGATAACAACAATGCTACAAGACTAAAATAAAATTCAAAAAATTTTAACCCAAATGAATATCATCCCTTAGATGAAATAAATCTCGTCAATTTTTTCAGCAGAACCCACTCTTCCAAGGGATGATATACGTTTGGATATTAACTTTTGAATTCCATTTGAGTTACGCAGTATTTTCCTATTGATAAACGATGACACAACAATGAAATTATATGGGATACCCCCTACAATAAAGTAAAAGCTTCATCAGGAAAGTAGTGAACTCACACCCACATCTAGAGCAAAACAGAAAATGAGTTGATAGAATATATATCTGAGAATAAATAACCACAACGAAGTTTGCTCTTTACTTACAAACACCAGGCAGGTATTGCAAATTTGCAGCAACGCAATTAAGCATTTGCAGTAAACCTGGTTTTCCAGTTTTGCTTTTCTTATAATATGCATTTCCTTTGAAAGGAGGATAGGAATCTAAGCTGTTCCCCTGTGCTCATAAATGATGTGGATGATTCTGTTATTACTACACTTTATCGTCATGGAACCACCACCTGGTCTCCTTGGGAGATCTACCATTTCTACAGTTCTTTACATAGCGATCATTATCTTCTGGGCGTTGCTGCACAAAAAGGTCAAAACCAGTAAGATTAATGCTCTCGGGAAATTTTTGCAGGAGAAAAATTGGAAGTAAACAGTAGAAAAGATATTCCCGCCACTATACAATTTTTTGGCCATTTGTTCAGATTTATGTTAGGGGACGCATTTACCATATTCCAAAACTTCCCCCATTCAGATGCTACAGCAAATCACAAATATCCCAATCTTATTTGGCATGATGGGTATATGGACCAAACAAAATAGGAAAGTAAAAAGGACAAAAGAGGCCTGAAAGCAAATGGAAGCAGACCTTAACAGTTGAACTTGATAGCATGGAGAGAATGCTAATACAAATAGAACTAACAGTCATGGCTGGGGACCAGGAATCGTACAATATATCTGCACAACATAATGAGCCAGCTTGGATTAATCTATGCCTTCCGGAGGCACACATGCAAAATGTTGCATACCCATAATGGAAAAACCCACCCACATAAAAATGGACAGGAACATTACTGCCAAATGGCAATACAAGTCACCAAGAGATTAAAACAAGGCAACATAATAATGAAATTAAAACAACCGCATGTCCCTACGTGATGAGATAAAAGTGGAATACAAAGAAATCATATTATGGTAGGTTCAAAAAACAGCACATATAGGTCATGAATCAGATTCCTCCAAAGTATACCACCAATTAGAAACAAGCCACAAAAGATTCACTTAACCCTGGTATAATACCTCAGTTGGCTTTCTTGGAAAAATGCAGCATCTCGTGACAAATTTCATTTCTGTATGAAAAAAAACACGAAGCACAAAGAATACATTTGGCATTCCCTTTACCCTCTTTTAAATCCATCAGTCACGCTTCTCTAAGCATAGAACAAGAAAAGTGATTGATTGCTGGGATGGAGTTGGTGCAAAGAATAGTATGAGGGCAATTTTTTAGGCTTTTTGGGTTCTTTGGCCGGGTCATGGCGGAAACCTTGGAATAACCGAAGGGAAATCACTTAGACTTGTTTCTAGGGATTTCTGAGTGCAAAATATTGCAACTTAGATATGATTTTTTGGCTTAGAAAAAGGTTAATAGTCCTAGAAATCCATAAAAAAAAAATGTGTAAAAGGCAACGACATAAAGCTACCATTAGGAATACATTTAGGGCACAACCCTGACACAACGAGCTCAAGCCCAATATCTTCTCAAGTTATATATTGGTGGAAGATCACATTGAGAGAAGTGCATGTGAAATGATTACAGAGGTAAACAAAGAGATATACACATGCATACATTGCAATAATTGAACCAAATTTGAAATTTGATCAGCATAGTGAAAACACATACTAATCATGAAAGTAAAAATTGTTGCATATACAGGGGCACTGGCAATAATACAGTTATATATCTGATCGATGGCCTATTTAACCTATAAGATGACATAATAGTGACAATGAAACGCCCTCAAGCCAGCTAGCTCATGCAATCAACAAAAAAATCCTTTGAGATTTACCTAAACAAATATGTCCATTGCTATAGATATGGGGGTGCAGAGGAGCTGGATGCAGAAATATCACCTGCATCAATGCAATCACATAATCAACATCGTCCATTATAAAAGCATACTTTCATACCCAAGAAAGAACTTTAGAACTACAAAAAATCATAATATCTACAGGTCCACCTGCGGAGCTTCCATAGGATAATGCTCAGGGAAATCGACCTGAAGCTGGTATGTTTCGTTGGCATAAAGAGTCCCTGGAGCTCCATTCACTTCAATTACCCACCTTTGCATAAAAAATAACATCCGCTAAAACTAATTAAACTAAATTCAAACAGGTAAATACATACACATTCATTAACACCAATACCTAAGACATATCTACACATATATGAAGGAAATAAAATCAAAATTCTTGAAATTCTCCACATATGGGACCCAATATTCTAAAGAACACCCCTAGGAAAGTCCATAAGAACAACTGAAATAATTGAACCAGTGTTTCCCTTTTTCAAGAAATAGGAAGGGAAAGAATAAGACAAAAACAACAAAAAATCATTTCTTTCATTGTCCGTCAATTTTCTGAAGGAAAAACAAACAAACAAAACAGGATAGGAGAAAATGAAATCGCAGAAACATAAAAAGGGTTCAATTGATAGAGGAGAGAGACCTTTGAAGATTATCGGTGGGTTTATGCTTGAAACCCGCCGGTGGACTGACCTGCCACTCTACCAGCTCTTTCTGGAGTCGATTGCACGCTATCTTGCTTAGAGCCTATAATCAATCATCAAAATTTCAAAGAATTAAATACATAAAACCCAGAATTGAAAATTAAGTAAGCCAGGAAATTACCCATAAACATATGTATAGCAATAATTTTAGGCATATATTATACAAGTTTAGAGAGAGAAGACCTTGCGAGAGGCGGCGGAGGAGCTGGTCATGGCTTGGTGGTTCTACCGATGGGAGAGAGAGTGGGCGTTGACGATGATGCAGGGAGAATAGTGTTTCATATAATCATGTGTTCCTATTTCCTGTTTTTCGCCCATTTATCGTTTTTTTTTTTGGGAGAATTACATTTTATACCCTAAATTATTAAATTTCTCATATTATACCCTATATTACTAAAATTATTCTAATATGATCTTTTTGTTGTTTTTATTCCATCAAAAATTACCTCTTGAAGTTCACAAAAATGAGTAACGAAAGTTAAAAAAACGGTCATACTATAATATTTTTAATATATTGAGGATATTATATAAAAAATTTAATTACTAAAGATATAAAATAATTTCCTTAGGATATAAAGTGTAATTCATCATTATTTCTACCCCTAATTAATGTCGCTAAAGCTGCTTTTGACGTGGGCAATGGTTAATTTAGAGCACGACCCAATTCAGTGGATTCTATGCAATAAATTATAGGATTTTTTTGGGTGTTAGTATAATTTTTTAGATTTATTTGAGTAAAAGTGTATAAATAAGTTATTTATTCTATTAAGTACAATTTTTATAAAAATTTTTGTGTTTAAGTACAAAATTTAAAATAAATTAAAATTTTTTTTACCTAAACACCCTTCCTTAATTTATGCAATTATCGTTGACAGTTATTTGAGAAAATAAATGTGTAAAGATTAACAATAATAATGAGAGATAAAGTAGGAGTTTACAAAAAGCAAGAAAGAACAAAAACCGAGGTATTTCATGCTAGAAGATGAAGATGAAAGAGTACGAGTGCAAAGAATAAGTGAAATATATATGTCTATGTTGTCCCATATCACCAACCTTGCTTCCACATCATTTGACTAAAAAAAAAAAGTCTTTTACTATGATGATTGATTAAACCTTGAATTTTTCCCAAAAAAAGAATTAGTCAAGATGTTTTGTTATATATTATGTATTGTTAGTTGTTATTCAGATGTAAGAAAAAAAGAACTTTTTTGTTTTTTTTAATGAGTGTAACTATTTTTTAATGGGTGTAACTATTTTTTCAATGGGTGTAACTGTTTTTTAATGAGTGTAACTATTTTTTTAATAGGTGTAATAATTACAGTCTCATGTAATTGTTAAGGCATGATGGTATAACGATGTCACAATACTAAATGGTGAAACTATTTAGTTTATGTAAGCAATTGAATGACAAATTGGGTTGATGTCATAATTTTGTGTAGTTGTTTTGTATAATTGTTTGGTTTATTACAACGCATGAATAACTGTTTGGTGTATTATAAGACAATTTGTAACTGATTAGTGTAATTGTGTTGTTGTAATATTAATATAAATAGAGTAAGAGAAAATAGGAGAGAGAGAGAGAGAGAAATTGTTAAACAATATGCTCCTATTTTACCTCTCATTACTTGATTGTAACAAAAAAAAAAGAGAAAGAATATAAAAGAGTTTCCATCTATATCATGTTTATCGATGACAATAGTGGTATTTTAAAAAAATATGTATTTTATCTTAAATAAGTCTAAAAAATTGTACCGACTTCTAAATTCTCCTAAATTAAAAAATAAACAAATAGAATCTTGTGTTAAATATATATAGAGAGCGGCTAGGAGTGGATATGTGGACAGATTGAATTTGAATTGCATTTAAATTAATTAAATTTCATTTATAACATTGGATTCGTATCTAATTTGATCATCTAATGGGTTTTAATGTCGTAATTTACATTTGAATTTAGTAAAAAAAATAGAGGTCGGATCCAAATATTCAAGTTGATCCGAATAAATTAAGTACTATTGATTTTAATAAATAACACCTAATATATACATATATTTAATCATATTGCATTCAGTGCTAGATAATCGGTGAAAATAAATTAATATCTGATCAGAATTTGAATTTAGGTCAAATTTAAATTTGATCTATTGACGAAACAAGTTAAGAAATATGACCCGAGCGAGCGTAAGCATAAATTTGCATTCAGTTCTATATTGTGCTTTATCAAAGACTATATTTTTTTAAGTTTTGCAATTTGATTAAGGCTTAAATTTGCAAAGGAAGCAGTGCAGGAAAGACAAAGTAATGGACTAAGCTGTGCTTTATGTGAGAAGAACTTCTTTCTCATCATAGGAATCTCTGCAACATAAGCTTATCTTCCAAATTTAGGTTTATTCTCTCGTTAACCACAAGACTTCCTAGTTGAGCAAATCAGTAATGGCATATTCCAGGCTTGATTAGAGAAGTTGCTTGGTGATTTGTTAATTGCAAAAGAGTAAATTATACATATGATCCTCAACTATGATCTTCGTGTTAATTAAGTTCTTAAATTTTTTTTATGTCAATTGAACCCTTGAATTCTTTAATTATGTCAATTGAGCCTTTCTGTCTACCTTCATTAGAATATGCCACTCAAGTGATCATAAGACATAAAAGACAGAAGACCTCAATTGACATAATTAAAGAGTTGAGAGATTCAATTAACAAAATAACAAAAAAAAACAAAGACTTAATTAACACGAGAGTCATATATTTTGAGGGTCATATCTGTAGTTTACTTTAACTCATTTGTGTTACGTGAACGACACACTTCACTATTTTTCGTTAAAAAATCTAACGGAGGTAAACAGAAGAGCTTAATTGACACAATTAGAGAGTTCAGGGACTCAATTGACACACAAAAAAAAAAAAAAATACAAAGACACAATTAGAGAATTTAAGGCCTCAATTGACACAAAAAAATTACGGAGAACAAAAACAGAATACCATAGAAATATATAGTGCCACATGACCAGATGAGGAGTGCATAATGAGTAAATAACTAGCTCACACCATCACCACATACAATCAATCTGCTCAGACTGCCACAATCAAATTCATTTTGGTTCTGTCAACAAAATTGAGTTCTATCAGAGGTGGACAGAGTCAATTATATATGCATTCCCATGGTCATACAAGACACCAGTAATTATTTTTTCAATTACATGTTACTTATTTCTCATAACTTGAGCAAGAAGTTGATACACATTCATGAAGTGCCCTGAAATATGAGATACATCACTAACAAACGATACAGAACAATATTTATTGTGTAACATCCCTAGCAAGCCCAAGATGCAGTATGATCGTGTTATTCAGCTTTCACCAAGACTCGTGCCATCCAGCATCCCAAAAAAAAGGTATAGAACCTGGCGGGTTTCACTCTAAAGGATCAAGCCTCTGGTGCTTGCCTGGGTGAAGCGTGTTTGTGGAGCCTGAAATCATCACATAAGTAGTCCATGATATTTTAATGTAAATCATCAAAAGAGGACAGCAACAGGAGAAGTTCTGTACCCAGTTCTCAATGGTGTTTTCTTATCCTTAAGACCTTTTGAAAGTTTTTATTTTGCATTTTCAACTACAAAGAGTGTCATGGTGACATTTATCAATGAGCAATCGTACATCATACTTATCAAAACTTGATTCTTACACTAAACCTCCAATCTCTGTAATTCTCTAATTTTCAGAAGCCTTCAGCTTAAGAAAAAATAAAAATGGAAAATGAATGACAAAAAATGTGATAGGTTGAAGGTCATTATCTAGTTTGGTCACCATTAGTGGGGGTACTAGATGAAATGGACCAAGTATGTACCTTATCTTCAATACAATTTACCCAAATTGACTGCTGTTAGTAATACACTTATAGATACACCCAACTCAACAAAGTCTTACTATCTGGGGCCAGTGACATGAATCCTATTTCTACACTCTGCTCTATCAAAGACTATATTTTTCTGAGTTTTGCAATTGTAGTAACCACTCCAAACATAAAAGGTGCTAGAGGGGTGGACCGGATACATGTATGTCTTTGACAACATTTGACTAAGGCTTACATTTGTGAAGGTCGCACAGCGAGAGGAAGGAAAATGGTATGCACTATGAACTTCTCTCTCAACATAGGAATCTGTCCACCATAAACACATCATTCAATTCTAGGTTTATTCACTCCTAATCATAAGACTTCCAAGTTTGAGCAAATGAGGATTGACATAGTCTAGGCTTGATTAGAAGTTTCTTGGCGATTTGTAACTGGAAGATCTAAAACTTTAAACATCCCACAGAATTGAATTTCATAAAGTTTAAAATATTAAAACTAAAAAAGAACATCACAACCAATTCTCAAAACCCCCGGCTATAACAGGATAAGGGATAACAAATTACTGATATGAAAAAAATATTTAATGCCACATGGCCAAACCCAGAATGAGTAAATAACTAGCTCACACCAATCACTACAGAAAATCAAATCATTGACACGATCAAACTCATTCTGGCTTAGTTTACACATTGAGTTCAATCAGATATGGACAGAGTCGATCATGATATCTAGGGGTTAAGCATGGAACAGGTTAAGAACTACAGAGTCCACCAATGCTCCAATTATCTAATACATTAACATAAAATCTTGTAGATAACTTGTACAAGTGAAAGGTAACCGACCACTAATTAGTTTTACACCAAAGGACAGACCAACCAGTAGGGTAAGCATGGTTACTCGGTACATATTGGCGCCCATAAATGAGTTTCAGAGGAAAAGAGGGATCAACATATAATTACAGAGATTTCAATTTGTTACACAAAAAAAACCCTATTATTACAGAGAGGTACGTAGTCTGTAAGACGGTATACTTGCGAACAATGTTACGCAGTAATGCATATTATTTAGCATAAGCTCTTTCAAATTAAGAAATAAGATGAATAGATCTGCCAGTTGAATTTTTACAACTAATGCATCCCCCACAAACTGCCAGAAACCAATGTTTTACTTCTTTTTTCCCAGACAATTCTCCAATTTTCAACTGGTGTCACCTCCATAGTTGTCAAATCGTGTATCGAAGGCGTATCATTTTTTAAAAATAGTATATCGTATCGTATATCGTAAAATACGCACAATTTTAATTTTTAAATAATTATTAATAAAATTGTTGGAATTCCGTGATTTACTACCTGATTTCTAGGAA